GCCTCCCAAAGTGCTGGGATTACTGGCATGAATGACCGCACCTGGCCTTTTTTTAATTTTCTCTCTTTATTTTTTTTGTAGAGATAAGGTCTCCCTGTGTTGCCCAGGCTAGCCTCAAACTCTTGGGCTCAGGCGATCATCCTGCCTCAGGCTCCCAAAGTGCTGGGATTACAGGTGTGAGCCACAGCCCCCAGCCCAGATTCCAGCCCAGATTAGATGAGATACTTAGGAAGTCTAATTCATTAAGACAGAAAGTAGAGGCTAGGAATGGTGGCTCATGCCTGTAATTCCAGCACTTTGGGAGGCCGACGAGGGTGGATCACAGGATCAGGAGTTCAAGACCAGCCTGGGCAAGATAGTGAAACCCCTGTCTCTGCTATAAAACTACAAAAATTAGCCAGGTGTGGTGGCAGCCCCCAGCTACTCAGGAGGCTGAGGCCTGAGAATGACTTGAACCCAGGCAGCAGAGGTTGCAGTGAGCTGAGACGGCACCTCTGCACTCTAGCCTAGGTGACAGAGTGAGACTGTCTCAAAAAAATAAGACAGAAATTCAAAAGGTTGGGGTTGAATTCATGGGTTGGGGAAAGAAGGATGGGAGTTGTGTCCAATGGGTAGAGTTTCAGTTTTGCAGGATGACAAAGTCCTGGAGATTGGTTGCACAATGTGAATATACTTCACACCACTAACTGACCTCAAGTGATCCTCCTGTCTTGCCTCCCAAAGTACTGGGATTGCAGGCATGAGGTAACATGCTGGAGAGATGTTTATTGGACATTTTACTATGTCAGGCCCTAAGCTTCCCTGGATCCTGTGCAAGCCTTCATTCATCTCCTGCGTTTAGGGTGAGAATACTGTAGCCAGAAGCCTTGGGACTTCTCAAGGTCTCACAAACAGACCAGACAGCAGGGGAGGGGTATGAACTGGCAATCTGGACTCCAGATTAGTGTTGGCTCCACTAGATGGTGCCAAAAGTAGATGATGATGGGCCGAAAGCACTCCAGGCCTGGGAGGTGGTTGTGTGGGAGATTGATTGTAGGAAATGACGTTAGCAAAGCTCCAGTCATCACAAAGAAAGCAAACCACCACCCCTCCTGAGAGGCAGCACCACGAGTATTCAGGTGTCCTGGGTTCAAAGCCAGGCTCTGTCACTTACAAGTTGCACAAGTTGGCATGACTCTTTAAACTGGTGAAATTAAAAATGTATAATAATTGTATAGAAAATTTGAGATAGCGGCCAGGCGCAGTGGCTCACGCCTGTAATCCCAGCACTTTGGGAGGCTGAGGCAGGTGGATCACGAGGTCAAAAGATCGAGACCATCCCGGCCAACATGGTGAAACCCTGTCTCTACTAAAAATACAAAAAAAATTAGCCAGGCGTGGTGGCAGACACCTGTGGTCCCAGCTACTCGGGAGGCTGAGGCAGAAGAATCGCTTGAACCCAGGGGGCGGAGGTTGCAGTGAGCCGAGATTGCACCACTGCACTGTAGCCTGGAGACAGAGCAAGACACCATCTCAAACAAACAAAAAAAAAGCAATGGGGGGTAACACAGGTCTATAATGAAAATAATAAATTTTATTTTGAGTTGGAGTCTCCTTGTTGCCCAGGCTGGAGTGCAGTGGCGTGATCTTAGCTTACTGCAACCTCCGCCTCCTGGGTTCAAGTGATTCTCCTGCCTCAGCCTTCCCGAGTAGCTGGGACTGCAAGCGCGCACCACCATACCCAGCTAATTTTTGTATTTTTAGTAGAGACAAAGTTTCAACATATTGGCCAGGCTGAACTTGAACTCTTGACCTCAGGTGATCCACCCATCTTGGCCTCCCAAAGTGCTGGGGTTACAGGTGTGAGCCACCGCGTCTGGTCAAAAATAATAAAATTCATTTGGAGAAAGAGGAAGTAATACATTTCACTTAATTGGGACTCAAAATTAGTACGTTCCTTATTCACAAATGGATTGCAAATGGTCATACGTAAAAGCCATTCTTAACTTTTGAGCTGCACAGTAACGGTGCAGGCTGGAATTGGCCAGTAATCTGAGGACATTTTTGCTTTTTGCGACAGGGTCTCACTCTGTCACCCAGACTGGGGTGCAGTGGCATGATCACAGCTCACTGCAGATTCAACCTTCCAGGCTCAAGCAATTCTCCCACCTCAGTCTCCCAAGTGGCTGGTGCTGCAGGTGTGTGCCACCATGCCCAGGTAATTTTTACACCCTTGAATGTGGTTTGTTTTCCTTAACGTTTTTGGTCTGAACTCACTCTGTGATGAGTCATTCTAATAGCTTCAGACTAAATACCAGAGAACTCGACTGCTCTCTAGGGAAACCCATTCAGCAGGTGGGATTCCTTCTTACATCCTAGGGTAATTCCAGGGTTTTGTCCTGAAAATTCATTTCTTTTTTTTTTTTTTTGAGATGGGAGTCTTGCTTTGTTGCCCAGGCTACAGTACAGTGGCAAGATCTTGGCTCACTGCAACCTCTGCCTCCTGGGCTGAAAACTCACTTCTTCTTTTTTTCTCTCTCTCTTTTTTATTTATTTATTTTTTAAATAAAGACAGAGTTTCACCATGTTGGTCAGGCTGGTCTTGAACTCCCAACATCAGGTGATCTGCCCGTCTTGGCCTCCAAAGTGCTTTGATTACAGGCGTGAGCCACCACGCCTGGCCTTTTTTTTTTTTTTTTTTTCCGAGACGGAGTTTCGTTCTTGTTACCCAGGCTGGAGTGCAATGGTACTACCTCGGCTCACCGCAACCTCCGCCTCCTGGGTTCAAGCAATTCTCCTGCCTCAGCCTCCCGAGTAGCTGGGACTACAGGCACGTGCCACCATACCCAGCTAATTTTTGCATTTTTAGTATTTTTGCATTTCAGTTTGTTGACCAGGATGGTCTCGATCTCTTGACCTCATGATCCACCCGCCTCAGCCTCCCAACGTGCTGGGATTATAGGCGTGAGCCACCTCGTCCGGCCTTTTTTTTTTTTGATATGAAGTTTTGCTCTTGTGACCTAGGGCTGCAGTACAATGGTGTGCAATCTCAGTTCACTGACACATCTGCCCCTGGGTTCAAGCAATTCTCCTGCCTCAACCTTCCGAGTAGCTGGGATTATAGGCATGCACCACCAGGCCCAGCTAATTTGTGTATATTTTTTTTTTTGAGACGGAGTTTCGCTCTTGTTACCCAGGCTGGAGTGCAATGGCGCGATCTCGGCTCACAGCAACCTCTGCCTCTTGGGTTCAGGCAATTCTCCTGCCTCAGCCTCCTGAGTAGCTGGGACTACAGGCGAGTGCCACCATGCCCAGCTAATTTTTGTATTTTTAGTAGAGACGGGGTTTTACCATGTTTACCAGGATGGTCTTGATCTCTTGACCTTGTCATCCACCCGCCTCGGCCTCCTAAAGTGCTGGGATTACAGGCTTGAGCCACCGCACCCGGCTAATTTGTGTATTTTTAGTAGAGACAGGGTTTCAGGCCAGGTGCAATGGCTCAAGCCTGTAATCCTAGCACTTTGGGAGGCCGAGGTGGGTGGATCACGTGAGGTCAAGAGTTCAAGAACAGCCTGGCCATCATGGTGAAACCCTATCTTTAAAAAAAAAAAAAAGAGAGAGACAGGGTTTCACCATGTTGGCCAGGCTGGTCTTGAACTCCTGACCTCAGATGATCCACCCTTCTTGGCCTCTCAAAGTTCTGGGATTACAGGCATGAGCCACCTTGCCCCGCCTCAAAAATCTCACTTCTTTTGGATGTTGTCTCTTTTGCTTGGTAGAGAGTATCTGTCCTCCTTTATGTTGCGATTTCCCTATTTATCTGTTCTCATCGAAAGGTCTAGGAATTGGTCACCGTTTTGTCTGTTAAGAATGCCTCTTCTAGCTTTCCAGCTAAGCCACCAGTTTATTGCAGATGGTCACTTAGGCAGAAAACCAGATCTGGAAACGTATCTGTTCTGGATTATGACTATTTCTGTAGTTTAAGCATTTTGGCCAGCTGTGGTGGTTGATGCCTACAATTTCAGCACTTTGGAAGACTGAGGCTGGTGGATCACTGAAGGTCAGGAGTTCAAGACCAGCCTGACCAACATGGTGAATCCCCGTCTCTACCATAAATAAATAAATAAATAAATAGGCTGGGTGTGGTGGCTGGCACCGGTAATCCCAGCTACTTGGGAGGCTGAGGCAGCAGAATCACTTGAATCCAGGAGGTGGAGGTTGTAATGAACCGAGGCTGTGCCACTGCACTCCAGCTTGCATGACAGAGTGAGACTCCATCTCAAAAAAATAGAAAAGAAAAAGACTATTTCTGTAGCTTGAGTATCTTAACAACAAAAGAGAGTAATAAAGTTGTTTTTTGTTTTTGTTTTTGTTTTTGAGACGGAGTCTCACTGTCACCAGGCTGGAGTGCAGTGGCGCAATCTCGGCTCACTGCAACCTCCGTCTCCCGGGTTCAAGTAACTCTCTGCCTCAGCCTCCGGAGTAGCTGGAATTACAGGCACCTGCCACCATGCCTGGCTAATTTTTGTTTTTGTTTTTGAGATGGAGTCTCGCTCTGTCGCCAGGCTGGAGTGCAATGGCGCGACCCTGGCTCACAGCGACCTCCGCCTCCCGGGTTCAAGCGATTCTCCTGCCTTAGCTTCAGCCTACCGAATATCTGGGACTACAGGCCTGCGCCACCACGCCCAGCTAATTTTTGTATTTTTAGTAGAGATGGGGTTTCACCATGTTGGCCAGGCCGTCTCGATCGCTTGACCTCGTGATCCGCACACCTTGGCTTCCCAAAGTGCTGGGATTATAGACCACCGGTGCGCCCTGACCAGGTTCTTTCTGAGTCCCGAAGGTGGCGAGTGTACCTGTGGAGAGAACTCAGGCATTTCCAGGGATCTAAGTCCTGGGCATAGCGGGCTCCCGGGATAGCAGCCCAGAGAAGCCCCAGGCAAGCCCGATTCCGGAAGTAGTTGTAGTGCCAGCGGTCGCGTCTTGGGTTGCCAGGGCACCGCCCCGGAAGTAGACTGCGGCGCGGGGCGGGGAGGGGCGAAGCGGGTGGGTCCAGCAGACTGCCGGCTGTGTCCTGCCGCGAGCGCCGGAGAGAGGCTGGAAGCGGGGTGGGGGGCTGCGGCTGGAGGCAACCCTGCAAGGCGCTCCTTCGAGCCTCAGCGCTCCAAGCCCACAGGTGAGGTCCAGTCGCCCAGGCCGCCCGGGGCACCGAGGGTGTGGTCGCGCGCGGGCGGGAGAGTGCGCGTGTGTGAGCGAGCGTTGGCGCCTGTGTCTACGCGGCGGCGATAGTGCGGTTCAGATGCTGCTGGCTGGATCCGCGTCGCCCAGGAATCCCGCGCTGACCACCGTGCCTTTCTCGCTGGGCTGAGTCCTGTCGACCTACCTTGTGCCGTCCGATTGTTGTAATTGCATCATTATGTGTATTATTTGTTGTCCCAGACTTTCATTGATCCTGCACGTTTCCCGTTCATTTGCAATTTGTGTTGTTTCTGTTGGCATCTTCTGCAGGGCGCAGTGTACCTGTAGAGAGAACTCAGGGCTGAAGACAAGAGCCTTGTGTCTTCCCTCTAGGTGACTGGACCAAGATATTTACCTTCGCTGATTCCCCATCAGCTAAGAGGGCAGGGCAGGGTAGTCATCCCGTCCGTGGAGAAGCTGAGGCGTTATAGGGGATTAATTTTGGAAGTCAAAGTATCTTATTGTTAGCCCTTTTGGGATTTGCAGGGTGGGTTCTTTGTTCAGGAAAGATTTGATGAGCACATTATGGTGCCAGCTTGTGGCAGTACAAAAAGATGGGCCCTGCTCTGCCCTCAAATTACAGACAATGGTAAGCAGTCACTGTGGAGCATGGTCACCCAGTGCGGGCGTGGAGATGGACAGTGACAATACTGCTGTAAAAGAATGCACTGCTCAACGTGGTCATCATTTGCATAGTTATTACTTTATTTATTTTTAAACATAGTCTCACTGTGTCGCCCAGGCTGGAGTGCAATGACATGATCCCTGCTCACTGCAAACTCCCCCTTCCGGATTCAAGCTATTCTTCTGCCTCAGCCTCCCCAGTAGCTAGGATTACAGGTACCCACCACCACACCTGGATAATATTTGTGTTTTTAGTAGAGATAGGGTTTGGCCAGGCTGGTCTTGATCTCCTGGCCCTTGATCTGCCCGCATCAGCTTCCCAAAGTGCTGGGATTACAAGCGTGAGCCACGCTGCCTGGCCATATTCTTCTCTGTCTCTCGTGTGTGTGTGTGTGTGTGTGTGTGTGTGTGTGTGTGTGTTTGAGATGGAGTCTGGCTCTGTCACCCAGGCTGGAGTGTGCAGTGGCACGATCTTGGCTCACTGCAATCTTGCAACCTCTGCCTCTGCCTCCCTGGTTCAAGCAATCCTTCCACCTCCGCCTCCCAGATAGCTAGGATTATAGGTGTGTACCACCATGCTTGGCTAATTTTTTTCTTTGTTTTTGTATTTTTAGTAGAGACAGGGTTTCACTCTCTTGGCCAGGCTGGTCTTGAACTCCTGACCTCAAGTGATCTACCCACCTCAGCCTCCCAAAGTGCTAGGATTATAGGTGTGAGCCACCATACCTGGCCTACTTTCTTTAAAGATGATTAATTTTTATTCCTTTTTAAAGAAAACTTGCTAGAAAAGAATCCAGATACCCCAGAATCCTAGCCCAGTTGGGACTTCATTAAAAATGGTAGAATGTCTAAGATAGTGGGGATGAGGGCGGAAAAGATGACCATTTTCTGATGACTGGACACAGAAAGGTGAAATGATTCTCATGAATACGTTCTCTCTTGCTTGTGCCAGGCAAGCGAATTAGGTTTGGCTTTTGTCTGGGAGTTGGGAGCTAAAGTAACTGGGAAGTGAAAGGCCTTGTGGCAAAGTGTCTGTCTGGGGTTGTAAATCTGCCCCAGCAGGCAGATATTCCCAAACTGTGGAAATCAGCTCAGCTCCCAGCCTGACACTTCACACCCCTGCTAAAGCTGTGGAAATTTTTTGTTGTTATTGTTATTGTTTGAGACGGAGTTTTGCTCTTGTTGCCCAGGCTGGAGTGCAACGGTGAGATCTCAGCCTCCCGGATTCAAGTGATTCTCCTGCCTCAGTCTCCTGAGTAGCTGGGATTACAGGTATGCGTCACCACGCCCAGCTAATTTTGTACTTTTAGTAGAGACTGGGTTTCTCCCTTTTGGTCAGGCTGGTCTCAAACTGCTGACCTCAGGTGATCTGCCCATCTTGGCCTCCCAAAGTGCTAGGATTACAGGTGTGAGCCACTGCACCAGTCTGTTTATTTTTGTTCATTCATCAAAAATTTTTTTTTTTAAGAGACAGGGTCTCGCTATGATGCCCAGGCTGGAGTGCAGTGGCTATTCACAGGTGTGATCCCACTACTGATCAGCATGGGAGTTTTGACCTGCTCCGTATCTGACGTGGGCCAGTTCACCTCTCCATAGGCAACCTGGTGGTCCCCTGCTCCTGGGAGGTCACCATATTGATGCCGAACTTAGTGCAGACACCCGGTCAGCATAGTGCACTACAGCCCAGAACTCCTGGGCTCAAGAGATCCTCCCACCTCAGCCTCCCGAGTAGCTGGGACTACAGGCACGAGACACTGCACCACATGCCACTGCACCTGGCCATTCATCAAATATTGATTGAGCACTTGCTATTACTAGACACTGTTCTAGATGCTGGGGGCTCAGCACAAGTTAAAGGAAAACCACATTTATGCTCTCAGACATGTCTGTGTAGAGACAGATAATCACCAAGGAAACAAATACATGAACTAGACCAATTATTTGCAAACTTGAGCATGGGTAAGAATCAGCAGATAGGCCGGATGCAGTGGCTCACGCCTGTAATCCCAGAACTTTGGGAGGCCAAAGACAGCTAGATCACCTGAGGCCAGGACCTCGAGACCAGCCTGGCCAACATGGCGAAACCACATTGCTACTAAAAATACAAAAATTAGCCATGGCACTTGGGTGTCACAATCATGTCAGAAGAGCAGAGGCACATTGTACATGGCAGCAGTCAAGAAAGCTTGTGCAGGGGAGCGCCCATTTATAAAACCATCAGGTCTCATGAGACTTATTCACTACCCATAAACCACTCCCATAATTCGTTTATCTCCACCCTGCCCTGCCCTTGACACGTGGGGATTATTATAATTTAAGGTGAGATTGGGATACAGTCAAACCGTATCATCTGGCCAGGTGTGGTGGTTCATGCCTGTAATCCCAGCACTCTGCGAGGCCAAGGCAAGCGGATCACCTGAGGTCAGGAGTTCGAGACCGCCCTAACGTGGAAAAACCCCATCTCTACTTAAAATGCAAAATTAGCTGAGCATGGTGGTGCATGCCTGTAATCCCAGCTACTCGGGAGGCTGAGGCAAGGGGGTCACTTGAACCTGAAAGGTGGAGGTTGCAGTGAGCCAAGATCACGCCATTGCACTTCAACCTGGGCAGCAAGAGCGAAACTCTGTCTAAAAAAAAAAATTGTATCATCTGCCTTTTGGCATCACCTGAAGTGATAACAGACACAGTGGAGTAGTGGAGGAGAATACTCCTAAACTACCCCACCCAGTGCCTATGCATGCTAGTACTTAATAACTGGTAGCTTTTGTTCTTGGTAATGATATAAACATGTCATTCCTTACTCTGTGCAGGCATGGCTGAGCTTCAGTGCCCAGCCAGGGCCCTGGCTAGAATTAGTAACACCTATCCACATGATGATGAGAGTGGAAGCTTGTGGTTGAAACCTGGAAAAAACAGGTGGGGAGCCTGCAAAGAAAAAAAGATGTTGGCCGGGCATGGTGGCTCACACCTGTAATCTCAGCACTTTGGGAGGTTGAGGCCGGTGGATCACCTGAGGTTAGGAGTTCAAGACCAGCCTGGCCAACTTTGAGAAAACCATACCTTGCCGGGCACAGTGGCTCACGCCTATAATCCCAGCACTTTGGGAGGCCGAGGAGGGTGGATCACGAGGTCAAGAGATCGAGACCATCCTAGTCAACAAGGTAAAACCCCGTCTCCACTAAAAATACAAAAATTAGCTGGGCATGATGGTGCGCGCCTGTAGTCCCAGCTACTTGGGAGGCTGAGGCAGGAGAATTGCTTGAACCCAGAAGGCAGAGGTTGGGGTGAGCCGAGATCATGCCATTACACTCCAGTCTGGGTAACAATAGACTGGAAACTCCGTCTCAAAAAAAAAAAAAGAAAACCACACTGCTATTAAAAATACAAAATTAGCTGGGCGTCATGGCAGGCGCCTGTAATCCCAGCTATTCGGGAGGCTGAGGCAGGAGAATCACTTGAACCCAGGAGGCGGAGGTTTCAGTGAACCAAGATCGTGCCATTGCATTCCAACTGGGTAACAGAGGGAGACTCTGTCTCAAAAAACAAATGTGTTGAGTTTTTTCAGAAGATAAGAGCTCTGTTTCTATTTTCCTTGGCATCCCTTTTGACAAGAAACTTTATTGTGATTTCTGCATATGAGGCTAGCTGCCTGGTATAAGAAAGGAAGGTATCAAGAGTGTAACATTTCCTCCAATTTCTGCATGTGATCATAAGGAATTTATGGTATAATTGGAGGCAGCTGAATCCAAGAATAAGGATTTAGTTTATTTTAATGCCATGATATTGTTAGGTAAAATGATTAGAGAGTATCAGACAAAGTAGCCATTTGGTAACCATTAGTAAATAACTAATGTCAAGGAAATTATCGGAAGTGCTTTGAGAGTCTCAACTTGTTAAATCTCAATTGGCTCAATTGATCTGTCAAGACTCTTGTAGCTGACACATATCTTTCTTTCATTATTTTTTTCTTAGTTAATAAAATCAAGAGTTTTGCTCAGGGAAGGTGATCATATCCCCAACTCAGGAATAAATCCTAATTAGCCTAAGCCAGTTTGATACGCTCATTGCCCTTGCCCGTGTCTTTTTTTTTTTTTTTTTTTTTGAGACGAAGTTTCACTCTTGTTGCCCAGGCTGGAGTGCAATGGCGCAATCTCGGCTCACTGCAACCTCCGCCTCCTGGGTTCAGGCAATTCTCCTGCCTCAGCCTCCTGAGTAGCTGGGATTACAGGCACGCGCCACCATGCCCAGCTAATTTTTTGTATTTTTAGTAGAGACGGGGTTTCACCATGTTGACCAAGATGGTCTCAATCTCTTGACCTCGTGATCCACCCACCTCGGCCTCCCAAAGTGCTTTATTGTTTTTTCAAAAGATTTTCTCACATAAAAAGAAACCTTGTTTACCTGGACCAAAACAAGGAAAAAAAGAAACAGGCTTTTCCTCTCCTGGAAATGTAGGTATCTTGACTGGGCTTAACTGAGGACAGAGCCAATTTTCTGAGGATGGCAAAATGGAAAATGGGAAGAACTTGAGTTATTGATGATGGTATCAAGCCCAGAAATTACCAGCTCTGGAGCCTTGGTAGATACTATTAATGTGACATAGTATATATTCTGTATTATTAAAAAAAAAAATGGAAGGGGGCCGGGTGCAGTGGCTCACAGCTGTAACCCCAGTACTTTGAGAGGCTGAGGCAGACAGATCACTCGAGGTCAGGAATTTGAGACCAGCCTGGTCAACATAGTGAAACCTCATCTCTACTAAAAATACAAAAACTAGCTGGGAGTGGTAGCAGGCACCAGCTACTTGGGAGGCTGAGGTAGGAGAATCGCTTGAACCCAGGAGGCAGAGGTTGCAGTGAGCTGAGACAGCGCCATTGCACTTCAGCCTGGGTGACTGACAAAGCAAGACTCCATCTCCAAAAAAAAAAAGGAAGGAAGGGTGTGGGGGAGCTACAAGACAAAGGTCTTTCTGCTCGTGTACTTGTTTCAGACAAGTTAGGACTTCCTTGTAACTTTGTGGGGGACAGAGCTCAACCCGTAACACATCTCTTTGGGAGCGACTGTCCAAAGCAAAGAGTCAGGTTCAAGGGGCTTGTCTGGAGGGTTTGCCCACTCCCTCCCTTATGCACTGAATATTTACTGTGGGCCTTGCCTGTGCCTGGGCTTGTGCTAGGGATGTTCGGGTCAGGCATGATGGACTGTGGGCTTTGATGCAGGCCAGAAGGAATCTGTGCAGTCAGGTGCGGTGGCTCACGCCTGTAATCCCAGCACTTTGGGAGGCCAGGGCAGATGAATTACCTGAGGTCGGGAGTTTGAGACCAGCCTGGCCAACATGGTGAAACTCCATCTCTACTAAAAATACAAAAGTTAGCAAGGCGTGGTGGCACGTGCTTGTAGTCCCAGCTATTCAGGAGGTTGAGGCAGGAGAATTGCTTGAATCTGGGAGGCGGAGGTTGCAGGGAGCTATCATGCTGCTGCACTCCAGCCTGGGCGACAGAGTGAGACTCCATGTCAAAAAAAAAAAAAAAAAAAGAATTGCTTGAACCCAGGAGGCAGAGGTTGTAGTGAGCCAAGATGTGTCACTGCACTCCAGCCTGGGCAACAGAGTGAGACTGTTTCAATAAAAGGAAAAAAAAAGTCATGCAAGATTGGGAACAGGTGACTCAGAGTCCTGCCCTCTTATGTTTATAGAAGGAATCTACTTGGAGGCCAAGGTGGGCAGATCATCTGAGGTCAGGAGTTCAAGACCAGCCTGACCAACATGATGAAACCCCGTCCTAAAAAAAAAAAAAAAAAAAAAAAGGAGGAATCTACTTAAAGGGCTGAAATGCAAGGTAGGGAATTCTGAGTGCCAACAAGGGTGGCAGGAGGAAATAGAGGATCTGGGGAGGAGGACAGCTTAGCTCCAGCTAGGGCTGAGAATGGCTCTCTGGGGAGGGAGTGGCCTTTGAACTGTGCCTTGCATGACTGGTAGGAGTTGGAGAAGAGGCAGTTCCAGGTGGGGCAGAGAGTGCACACAGGCTTGTAGACAGGAGGAAAGCTTTGGGCAGATGTGGGAAGGGGCTGAGCTCAGCTGGAGCGAGGGGTGCATGCCATGAAGAGTGGCATGGCAGCTTGACAAGGCCAGCTGGAGCCAGTAAGTAATTCAGTTCAGAAATTCTTACTGTAACAGGGAAGACTCAAAAAGAGTATCTCCTGGACAGGCACAGTGGCTCACACGCCTGTAATCCCAGCACTTTGGGAGGCCAAGGCAGGTGGATCACGAGGTCAGGAGTTCAAGACCAACCTGCCAACATGGTGAAACCCTATCTCTGCTAAAAGTACAAAAATTAGCCGGGTGTGGTGGCTGTAATCCCAGCCTGTAATCCCAGCTACTCAGGAGGCTGAGGCAGGAGAATTGCTGGAACCCAGGAGGCAGAGGGTGCAGTGAGCCGAGATCGCGCCACTGTACTCCAGCCTGGGTGAAAGAGTGAGACTCCATCTCAAAAAAATAAAAAAATAAAAAGAGTGTCTCCTGAATGTGTGTGATGTACATTTCATCTGTTAACTTTGTCTTAGGAAAGGAGGGGCCAGTGTGAGTGACGTCAGTGACACTGAGGTGAATGTGGGCATTGCCAGTGGTGCTCCGTCAGTGCCTATGGTAGGTACAGCCAGAGACGGCCCCTTAGTGACCATTGTCTATACGGTGGGAGAGAAGGCGCAGGGCCTGGGAGGGCCCCTGATGCTCTGACTAAAGCACTTGCCTCACTTGCTTAGTGAAATGTGGATGCGGATGCTTGGCCTGTATGCCTCTGTGGGTTTGAGGTCTCACATCTGGAAGCATTGAGGCCTGGGGAAGCACCGTGTGAGAATCACGCACAGCCCTCCTGGTGTCCCGTCACTACTCTTCCTTCTGTCACCTCCAGGTAGGAGTCAGTGGTTGGTGTGAAGTCACCCACTAATATGCTTGCTTTAAGTACAACGTGTGAACCATGCAGCCTGGATGGCGGTGTTTGGGGTCCCCAGGCCGCTAGCAGGATTCGTTGGGGATTCAGAGCTGTGGAGGCTGAAATCACGTAGTGGAAACAAAAAGTTGCCTGAGCCATTGGCGTGGGCCCTGTTTCTGCAGGTGTGAGGGATGTGGGATCGGTTCACACTTGGGTGCGGCTCCTGTGCTGTTACCGTCATCTTGCTGTGACTGCTGAGGTTTCACGTGCACTGTGATTGATCACCCAACAGCCGTCATTCATATGGCACCTTGTAGCTTCCAGAGAGCAATTCCATTTATTGCTCATTGACCCTGTGACTTGGATATTGTCATCATCCTGCTGAAGGCCAGGTTCACAGAGGGAAGTGATGGGCTATGTGGAGAGAGGGTGGCCCTTTAGCATCACCCTGGCTTTAAACCAGGGCACTAAATCTCCCTTGAGTCTGTTTGTTTGTTGGTTTGAGACAGAGTTTTGCTCTCGTGGCTCAGCCTTACGAGTAGCTGGGACTGCAGGCGTCTGCCACCATACCTGGCTAATTTTTGTATTTTTAGTAGAGATGAGGTTTTGCCATGTTGGTCAAGCTGGTCTCAAACTTCTGACCTCAGGTGATTCGCCTGCCTTGGCCTACCAAAGTGCTGGGATTACAGGCGTGAGCCACCGTACCCAGCTGAGTCTGGTTCTTAACCACTGAGCCTCAGTTTCCTCATTGGTGAAGCGGGGATGATGATGATGATAATAGTGAATGTCTCTTGAGTGGTATTTTTTTTTGAGACAGGTCTCACTCTGTCCGCCAGGTTGGAGTGTAGTGGTGCCATCATGGCTCACAGCAGTTTAACCTCCCAGGTTCAAGTGATCTGCCTGCCTCAGCCTCTCCAAGTAGTGGGATTACAGGTGTGAGCCACTGCGCCTGGCCCCTCTTGAGTGCTTTCTGTGCTCCAGGGGCTGTTTAGTCCTTTATATGTGTTCGCTCATTTAACCCTGACTGTAGCCTGTAAGCTGGATACTACTACTCTTTTTTTTTCAAGAGATGTAGTCTTGCTTTGTTGCCTAGGCTGGAGTGCAATGGTGTGATTTTGGCTCACTGCAACCCCTGCCTTCTGGGTTCCAGCGATTTTCCTGCCTCAGCCTCCCGCGAGCAGGGATTATAGGCTCGCACCACCACACCCAGCTAATTTTTTGTATTTTTAGTAGAAGCAGGGGTTCCATCATGTTGGCCAGGCTGGTCTCGAACTCCTGACCTCGTGATCCACCTGCCTCGGTCTCCCAAAGTGCTGGGATTACAGGTGTGAGCCACCACACTACATACGATTCTTATCACTGTTTTACGCAAGGAAATGGAGATTCAGAGAGGTTAAGTACGTTGCCTAAAGTCACACAGCCAGTGAGTGGTGGAGCTAAGCCCCAAACCTGAGCCGCAGAGCCCGTACTCTGTTACTGTCCCCCTGTCCTACCTCTGTGACGCTCCTGGCCTTACCAGCAGGGTGTGGAAGGCACAGGCTGGCACTGTGTGGTGCTATCCTGGGAATGAATGCCTTCTTCCTCCCTTTCCCGAGGCCAGTTAGGTCCAGGTCCCTGTCTCCATATCCCATGCCTTTCTGCACCATCAAGTTGCCCCCAAAGTGGAGCCCTTGCCGGTCCATGGAGAAGGCGCCTCTGTTCAGAAGAGGCCTTCAAGGCTCATAGGCCCCTTGGCTTTGAAGCTGGGTTTTGCCTGGAACCCCTTCTTCAGATGAAACTGTATGTGGAAGTGTAACGAGGCATGCTGCCTTTATTGTTGTTTAAAAAATAACACTCTTGGGCCGGGCGCGGTGGCTCAAGCCTGTAATCCCAGCACTTTGGGAGGCCGAGGCGAGTGCATCACAAGGTCAGGAGATTGAGACCATCCTGGTCAACATGGTGAAACCCCATCTCTACTAAAAATACAAAAAATTAGCTGGGCATGGTGGCGCGTGCCTGTAATCCCAGCTATTCAGGAGGCTGAGGCAGGAGAATTGCCTGGACCCAGGAGGCAGAGGTTGCAGTGAGCCGAGATCGCTCCATTGCACTCCAGCCTGGGTAACAAGAGCGAAACTCCGTCTCAAAAAAAAATAAATAAATAACACTCTTTCTTTTGCCATCATCCTGGGTGGGAGCTGGTGACTGGTGTGACTGTAAGATTGTCTTTTTTTTTTTTTGAGATGGAGTCTCACTCTGTCACCCAGGTTCGAATACATGATCTTGGCTCACTGCAACTTTCACCTCCTGGGTTCTACTGATTCTCCTGCCTCAGCCTCTGAGTAGCTAGGATTACAGGTGCCCACCACCACAGCTGGCTAGTGTTTGTATTTTAAGTCACCATGTTGTCCACAGTGGTCTTGAACTCCTGACCTCAGGTAATCCACCTGCTTTGGTCTCCCATAGTGCTGGGATTATATGTGTGAGCTACCACGCCCAGCCCGGATAAACACAGTCACTCTGTAGTTCCAGAGGGTGACTTGAAGTAGGGAGACAGGCACTGCCTGGAGGGACATGAGTCAGTTATGCCGACCTCCATTCACCTATCAGAAGTTGGCTCGAGGGTCCCCTTCTCAAGGCGGCCTTCCCCAGCTGCCCTGCCTCTGGCTCTCCGAGCCCCATGTGCCCCTCTTTTGTGGCTCCTGGCATAATTGCAATTGAACACTCCCTGGTGATGACTTAATGGCTGCCTGTCTCTCCCACCAGACCAGGGTTTCTCAGCCTTGGCACAGTTGACATTTGGGGCTGGATAATTGGTTGAGAGGGGTCACCTGTGCAAGTCGAATGTTGAACGGCATCCCTGGCCTGAACAAGCCTGATGCCAGAAGCATCCCCCAGTCGAGACAACCAGACTGTCTCTACCCATGCCAGGTGTCTCCTGGGAGATGGAATCGCCCCTGGCTGAGAACCACTGCTGGGGTAAGATCGAGTTTGGGGTGGGGGAACATAGGTCAACTTTGTGTGCTGTTTAAGGGATTCCTTGGGTTAAAGGGAAGGGGGTCGTTGACGTTTGTAGCTCTAATATGTTGATCTCTTCCAGGATTATGGCAGGAAAAGTAAAATGGGTCACCGATATCGAGAAGTCAGTGCTGATCAATAACTTTGAGAAGAGAGGATGGGTCCAAGTGACAGAAAACGAAGATTGGAACTTTTACTGGTAAGCACACAAAGCAGGGCTGGGTGGTTTCTCTGAGGCTTGCGTATCGGTTCCAGTGCCTCGCAGAGAGTGCGCCTTGGGACTGGCCTCAGAGCTAGTGTCTCCTGTCATCGTGCCGTCTACCAGCACACGTTTTTCCTTAGGACTCTCTGTGAGAATATGTGTCATGGCATGTTCCCACCTTGCTGTGTGCAGCCTGTGGTGTGAAGCCCAGGGTGTTTCAGCGCAGCTAAGTATGAGTAACCCCGTGGGGAACTTGGGTGAGAAACAAGAGCCTCAGCCCTCCCCTTGCAGTGAGCGTGTGTTAGAGGTGGCCCAGAGGACAGGGAAGAAGGCTATGGAAGAAGGCTTGGTGCACCTTTTTTTCCAAGACAAAGTCTTGCTCTGTCACCCAGTCTGGAATGCAATGGTGAGATCTCAGCTCACTTCAACCTCCGCCTCCTGGGTTCAAGTAATTCTCCTGCCTCAGCCTCCCAAGTACCTGGGATTACAGGCGCACACCAACATGCCTGGCTAATCTTTTGTATTTTTAGTAGAGACGGGGTGTCACCATGTTGGTGAGGCTGGTCTCAAACTTCTGACCTTGTGATCCACCCACCTTGGCCTCCCAAAGTGCTGGGATTACAGGCATGAGCCACTGTACCCAGCTACTTATTTATTTTTTTTAACACATGTATGTTTTCTAGAGACTGGGTCTCACTCTCTTGCCCAGGCTAGAGTGCTGTGGCGTGATCCTACCTCCTGCAGCCTTGCCCTTCTGGGCCCAAGCCGTCTTCCCACCTCAGCCTCCTGAGTTTCTAGGACCATAGGCATGTGCCACCATACCCAGCTAACTTTTTAAATTATTTGTAGAGTCATTGTTTCACCATGTTGTCCAGGTTGGTCTCCAACTCCTGGCTTCAAGCAATCCTCCTGCTTCAGTCTCTCAGAATGTTGGGATCACAGGTGTGAGCCACCGCACCTGTCCAGGTGCCTTCTTTTGCTTCCCTGTCCTTGACCAAGAGGGTGCTAGTCAGACTGGCTGACAGACAGCAATAGAAAAGTGAGTCAGGCCAGGCACAATGGCTCATGCCTGTAATCCCAGCACTTTGGGAGGCTGAGGCGGGTGAATCACCTGATGTCAGGAGTTTGAGACCAGCCTGGCCAAGATGGTGAGACCCCATCTCTACTAAAAATCCAAAAATTAGCTGGGCGTGGTGCTGCATGCCTGTAATCCCAGCTACTTGGGAGGTTGAGGCAGGAGAATTGCTTGAACCCGGGAGGTGGAGCTTGCAGTGAGCTGAGATCATGCCACTGCACTCCAGCCTGGACAACAGCATAAGGCTCTAGCTCAAAAAAGAAAAAAAGAAAAGTGAGTTAGACTGGCTGGGCACAGTGGCTCAAGCCTGTAATCCCAGCACTTTGGGAGGCCAGGCAGGTGGATCACCTGAGGTCAGGAGTTTGAGACCAGCCTGGCCAACATGGTGAAACCCCATCTCTACTAAAAATAGAAAAAGTATCTGGGCATGGTGACCTGCCCCTGTAATCCCAGCTACTTGGGAGGCTGAGGCAGGAGAATTGCTTGAACCCAGGAGGCAGAAGTTGCAGTGAGCCACTGCACTCCAGCCTGGGTGACAGAGCGAGACTCTGCCTCAAAAAAAAAAAAAAAAAAAAAAAAAACGGGAAAGTGAGTTAGACGAGGGCAAGAAAAGCAGTGTTTTGGCCAGGCGCGGTGGCTCACGCCTGTGATCCCAACACTTTGGGAGGCTGAGGCAGGCAGATCACGAGGTCAGGAGAGATCAGCCTGGCCAACATAGTGAAACCCCATCTCCACTAAAAATACAAAAAAATTAGCTGGGTGTGGTCACTCACACTTGTAATGCCAGCACTTTGTGAGGCTGAGGGAGGCGGATCACAAGGTCAGGAGTTCAAGCCCAGCCAGGCGAATGTGGGGAAACCCTGTCACTACTAAAAATACACAGATTAGCTGGGTGTGGTTGCACACACCTGTAGTCCCAGCTACTCAGGAGGCTGACGCAGGAGAATTGCTTGAACCCGGGAGGTGGAGGTTGCAGTGAGCCAAGATTGCGCCATTGCATTCCAGTTTGGGCACAGAACGAGACTCCGTTTCCCAAAAAAAAAAACACCAGAATGCTGGATTACAGACATGAGCCTCCATGCCTGGCCAGCTCTTTATTTTGAAAACTGATGCAAGAATCAAGCAATGATTCTGTTTTGTGTATGAACTGTTCTCAGGGCTTCTGTATTGTTGATGAAGGGGGCTTGTCTCTAGAAGTGTTCCTGCTGTTGCAAGCCTGGTAGCTCACACTCGTAATCCCAGCACTTTGGGATGCCTAGGCGGAGGATGAGTAGAGTTGAGGAGTTTGAGACCAGCCTGGGCAACATGGCAAAACCCCATCTCTACAAAAAAAGTTATAAAAATTTCCCTAGACACAATGGCGCCTTCCTGTAGTCCCAGTTACTTGGGAGGCTGAGGTAGGAGGATCACTTGAGCCTGGGACACAGAGGTTGCAGAGAGCCAAGATCAAGCCATGACACTCTGGCCTGGGTGACAGAGCAAAACCCTGTCTCAAAAATCAATAAATATGGCCCGGTGCGGTAGCTCACGCCTATAATCCCAGTACTTTGGGAGGCTGAGGCAGGTGGATCATGAGGTCAAGGGATCGAGACCATGCTGGTCAACAAGGTGAAACCTCGTCTCTACTAAAAATACAAAAATTAGCTGGGCATGGTGGTGCGCGCCTGTAGTCCCAGCTACTCGGGAGGCTGAGGCAGGAGAATTGCTTGAACCCAGAAGGCTAAGGTTGTGGTGAGCTGAGATCATGCCATTGCACTCCAGCCTGGCTAACAACAGCGAAACTCCGTCTCAAAAAATAAATAAATACATACATACATAAATATTGCTTTTTTAGTTCTGATAGTTGTATAAAATAGGATGTCACATAATAGAACATGGAGTCTTGAACTGTTAGAGAATCTTACAGAAATGTTTTGGATGAAATAATATGATGTCTAGGACTTGGTTCAGAACATGCCAGTGCTGAGGGGGGATGGAGGTTCAGACTAAATGTGACTGGCCATGTGCCATTAACTGGCAGAGTGGGGTAATAGGGGTCCCTTAACACTTTCTCTCTCCTTTATTCTCTTATTCCCTTTATTCTCACCGTCCTGGAATCCACAGCAGCTCTTTGGGGGTTCTGGGCACCCTCTCTAGGGTGGTGCTGTGGGGTGGGGGTAGACTGGGGGCACAGGGACTGCAGTGCAAGAGGCCGGGGCCACCTGCCATGTTTTATGACTCAGGCTCTGGGCCGGGGCCAGCCCTTCCTCTGTAGCCCTTCTCTGCTTTGTAGGGGGTTGGTGAGGACAGGCGTGTGGCAGGGAGACTGTGGCTTTCTCAGAGGCTTGGAAGGAATCCATTTCCCTTTTAGCTCTGTCGTCCCCCACTTGCCCTCTCAGCAAACTGCAAGAATTTCAAGTATTGACTCAGGGCTCTTACATATTACCCTGTGATTTTGTTTTTAAAGGGTCCTTGGGCCGGGCATGGTGGCTCATGCCTGAAATCCCAGCACTTTGGGAGGCCAAGGCGAGCAGATCATCTGAGGTTGGGAGTTTGAGACCAGCCTGACCAACATGGAGAAACCCCATCTGTACGAAAAGTATAAAAAATTAGCTGGGTGTGGTGGCATGTGCCTGTAATCGCAGCTACTTGGGAGGCTAAGGCAGGAGAATTGCTTGAACCTAGGAGGCGGAGGTTGCCATGAGCCAAGATCATGCCATTGTACTCCAGACTGGGCAACAAGAGCATAACTCTGTCTCTAACTAAATAAATAAATAACATTAAAAATTTTAAAAAAGGGTCTTTGACTTTTCTGAATTTGGGTGCAGATATTGTTTAAATGAGTTTCCTGACTTCAGAGTCTGAAAAGGGTATATATTTTATTTGTTGACAGTGTTATTATTAATCAATGTTATTGCTAATCAGTAAACATTTATTGAGCTCCTGCTCCTGGCCCTCACACAGCTTGGGTCCCAGCCTGCCCTTGGGCACGCGTTCTGTGCTGCGGTGGGCCGGGCAGCCCCTGGCTGAGGTGCCAGGAGATATGGAGTAGTAGGGAAGGGTGCTGAGGGTTCTGGATGTTTGCGGGGATGGGAACAAGGACTTCTGCCACACAGACATCACTACTGAGCGTCCATCCTGCTCATCTCTTACAGGATGAGCGTGCAAACCATCCGAAATGTGTTCAGTGTCGAAACTGGGTATCGGCTCTCAGACGATCAGATAGTCAACCATTTTCCAAACCACTATGAACTGACCCGGAAGGATCTGATGGTGAAGAACATCAAAAGATACAGGAAGGAGCTGGAGAAAGAAGGGAGTCCTCTGGCAGAAAAAGATGAAAATGGAAAATACCTCTATCTGGGTTTGTGCCTTTTCCCCAGCTCCTGTTTTCAATTAACAGCTGAATGTTTTCCTTGGGGCTTGAGGTGCCGAGGTGGTGACTGCTGGCTTTGGCACATGAGCATGTCCATGTGGGTGTCATCTCAGGTGTCTCCAGAATGAAGGAGCAGGAGGAGTTTGCATTTGGCATTTGAGTTTCTGCGAGTGCCTTGGGAATTGCCTGGCATGGGCTTTGTGCAAGCCAGAGAATGCCCTCAGTGAAACGTTTCTTGAGCCACAGGCTGCCACAAGGGCTCATGACTGTCTGTCTGGCTCTACCCAGGGAAGACACTGTGTCCCTCTCCAGTCCGGGGATAAAAGCTGGACTGAACAGCTTCAGATTCTTTCACAAACCTGGGCAGAATTTGATAACTGACTTCCCTGGGCCTCAGTTTCCTCATCTGCTAAATGGGAATTATTACAGGGTTTACAGTAGCTCGCAGGTGGCCGTGGGGATTGAAAAATACAGGTTTCAGCCAGGTGTGGTGACTCACGCCTGTAATCCCAGCACTTTGGGGGTCCAAAGCAGGTGGATCACGAGGTCAAGAAATCGAGACCATGGGCTGGGCGTGGTGGCTCATGCCTGTAATCCAAACACTTTGGAGGCCAAGGTGGGTGGATCACCTCAGGTCAGGAGTTCAAGACCAGCCTGACCAACATGGTGAAACCTCATCTTTATAAAAATAAAAAAAAAAGAGATCAAGACCATCCTGGCCAACATGGTAAAACCCCTCTCTACTAAAAATACAAAAATTAGCTGGCTGTGCTGGTGCACACGTGTAATCCCAGTCGCTTGGGAGGCTGAGGTAAGAGAATCACTTGAACCCAGCAGGTGGAGGTTGTGGTGAGCTGAGATCATGCTACTGCACTCCAGCCTGGGCAACAGAGCAAAACTCCATCTCAAAAAAAAAAAAATTACAGGTTTGTAAGGTGCTTAGATAGGCTCTGTGAATGTAGCTTGTGTCACCCAGTATTGCACAGCAAAGGCCCTGGTTCTGTTAGCTGCTGAGGTGGGGTGGGGAGCACTAAGTCCGAAGGCCCTGGAAAGGCAGGGCAGGATCTTTCTGTTGCTGGCCGCTGTGGGGCTGGCCCCTCACCAGCGCCGGGTGCCTTTGCCTTGCAGACTTTGTTCCAGTCACCTACATGCTGCCCGCTGACTATAACCTGTTCGTAGAGGAGTTCCGGAAGAGCCCGTCCAGCACCTGGATCATGAAGCCTTGTGGCAAGGCCCAGGGAAAGGGCATCTTCCTAATTAACAAGCTCTCGCAGATCAAAAAGTGGTCCCGGGACAGCAAGACGTCTTCGTAAGTGTGGGCAGCCACCCGCTCTGCGTGCCAGGTCCCAGTTCACCGTTTTCCGCTGTTCTGTAGTCTTTGTGGGATGATTGTGGTTTTTTGTTTTTTTGAGGCAGAGTCTTGCCTGGTCGCCAGGCTAGAATGCAGTGGTGCAATCTCGACTCACGGTAACCTCCGCCTCCCGGGTTCAAGTGATTCTCCTGTCTCAACCTCCTGAGCAGCTGGGACTACAGGCATGTGCCACCATGCCCGGCTAATTTTGTATTTTTAGTAGAGACAGGGTTTCACCATGTTGGCCAGGATGCTTTCAATCTCTTGACCGCCTGTTCCGCCCACCGTGGCCTCCCAAAGTGCTGGGATTACAGGTGTGAGCCACTGCACCTGACTGTGGGTTTTTTTTGTTTGTTTGACAAACTTTTGCTCTGTCACCAGGCTGGAGTGTAGTGGTGCAATCTCAGCTCACTGCAACCTCTGCTTCCTGGGTTCAAGTGATTCTCCTGCTTCGGCCTCCTGAGTAGCTGGGATTGCAGGCATGTGCCACCATGCCCGGCTAATTTTTTTTTTTTTTTTTTAATAGAGATGGAGTTTTGCAGCCAGGCGCAGTGGCTCACGCCAGTAATCCCAGCACTTTGGGAGGCCGAGGTGGGTGGATCATGCATTCAGGGGTTCAAGACTAGCCTGGCAAAGATGATGAAACCCCATCTCTACTAAAAATACATGAGAAATTTAGCTGGGTGTGATGGCAGGTGCCTGTAATCCCAGCTGCATGGGAGGCTGAGGCAGGAGAATCCCTTGAACTCTGTTGGGGCAGAGGTTGCAGTGAGCTGAGATCACACCACTGCAGTGCAGCCTGGCTGACAGAGTGAGACTCTGTCTCAAAAAAAAGGATTTCGGGGGCCGGGCACGGTGGCTCAAGCCTGTAATCCCAGCACTTTGGGAGGTCGAGGCGGGTGGATCATGAGGTCGAGAGATCGAGACCAACCTGGTCAACATGGTGAAACCCCGTCTCTACTAAAATACAAAAAATTAGCTGGGCATGGTGGCGTGTGCCTGTAATCCCAGCTACTCAGGAGGCTGAGGCAGGAGAATTGTCTGAACCCAGGAGGTGGAGGTTGCGGTGAGCCGAGATCGTGCCATTGCACTCTAGCCTGGGTAACAAGAGCGAAACTCCGTCTCAAAAAAAAAAAAAAAAGGATTTCGCCCTGTTGGCCAGGCTGGTCTCAAACTCCTGAGTCAGGTGATCCGCCTGCCTCGGCCTCCCAAAGTGCTGGGATTACAGGTGTGAGTCATGGTGCCCGGCCTGTTCTTCGGTGTTTGGTCATGAGCCAGGCAGCCCATGCTAGGTTTTGCAGGTGTGTCATCTGACACGTGGCATCACGGTGGGGCTCTGTGGCTGTCTTTGGGTGATTAGTCCCAGACTGCCTGAGGTAGATCATGAGGAAGACGATGTAGGTCATGGGCCAAGGCCTGCAGCCGCTCTTTGATTACAGGTTGGTGTGAGAACCGCTCATTCGTGGTGGTTCTTGAGGCAGTGAGACACCAACCTAAATCCTGGGACTGGGGGCCCTGAGGTCCTGGTTTGAGGCCCAGTCTGACACGCACTGGCTGAGTGTATTTTCTTCCGCAGAGTCTCCCAGTCTTACATTCTCCATCCGAGTAAAATGGGGACACCAGCAGCTCCATCACCAGGGGGTTGTGGTGGGGATGGAACGAGTTAACACATGTGAAGCCTGAAGCATTTAGAAGGGGCCAGGCAGTGGCCTCTGGCCCACAGGGCAAGCCCAGGGCCTGGGTCTGCTGGCTCTTCTTTGTCTTTGTTTTTCTCAGCTGCTCAGAAGTATCTGGGGGCCACTGGGGCAAAGCTTCTGTCTGATCCTTTTCCAGTGGGGAGAGGACTCACTTGTCAGTAGTTCCCAGGGTAGCAGGAGACACCTCACTTTATAGTACATTTAAATAGGTTTCTTTTTTTGTTTTTTGACATGGAGTCTCACTGTCACCCAGGCTGGAGTGTAGTAGCATGATCTCGGCTGACAGCAACCTCACACCTCCCAGGTTCAAGCGATCCTCTTACCTCAGCCTCCTGAGTAGCTGAGATCAAAGGTGCCCACCACCATGCCTGGGTAATTATTGGATTTTTTAGTAGAGATGGGGTTTCACCATGTTGGCCAGGCTGGTCTTGAACTTCTGACCTCAAGTAATCCACCTGCCTCGGCCTCCCATGCTGGGATTACAGGGGGTAAGCCACTGCGCCTGGCCTAAAACAAATTTTGTTTTTTTAAGACAGGATCATGGCTCACTGCAACCTCAGCCTCCTGGGCCCAAGCCTCCTGAGAAAAGGGACTATAGGTTTACACCACTACACCTAATTTTTATTTTTTTTGTAGAGGCAGGGTTTCGCCATGTTGCCCAAGTTGGTGTCAAATTTCCAGGCTCAAGTGATCTGCCTGACTCAGCCTCCCAAAGTGCTGGGACTACAGGTGTCAGCCACCACACCCGGCTGTGCTTAAATCTAATTACACTTTGCCAACCCCCAGTGGTCAGGCCTAAGGAGGAATTCCCTGAGTGGACTCCTGGGGACTCTCCTGCAGCTGCTGGCACTGTCCTCTGGGGCAGAGGGTGTCCTCCATGGATACACCTCACCCCCATTTCCTTCCTGACGATCCAGCCCCTCATAGTGAGAGGCCAGGAGCTTATTGCCAGCTGAATAAATGCACCTTTGGTCTTTGCCATCAACTTTTTTTTCAGTAGCTTGATTTTTGTTTTTTTAGACGGAGTCTAGCACTGTCGCCCAGGCTATAGTGCAGTGGCGTGATCTCAGCCCAGTGCAATCTCTGCCTCCTGGGTTCAAGCAATTCTCCTTCCTCAGCCTCCCGAGTAGCTGGGGCTACAGGTGTGCACCACCACGCCCAGCTAATTTTTTTGTATTTTTAGTAGAGACGGGGTTTCACCATGTTGGCCAGGATGGTCTTGATCTTCTGACCTCGTGATCTGCCTGCCTTGGCCTCCAAAAATACTGGGATTACAGGCGTAAGCCACCGTGCCCAGCAGCTTGATTTTTTAGAGCAGTTTTAGGTTTACCGCACAATTGAGTAAGATACAGAGATTTTTTTTTCCGATACCCCTTCCCCTACATGTGCACAGCCTCCCCACTTATGAGCATCCCCCAGGAGAATGGAACATTTGTTAAAATTGGCAAACTGGGGCCAGGCGCAGTGGCTCACACCTGTAATCCTAGCACTTTGGGAGGCCGAGGCAGGTGGATCACGAGGTCAAGAGATCGAGACCACCCTCGTCAACATGGTGAAACTCTTTCTCTACTAAAAATACAAAAATTAGCCGGGAGTGGTGGCGGGTGCCTGTAATCCCAGCTACTCAGGAGGCTGAGGCAGGAGAATTGCCTGAACCCAGGAAGTAGGGGTTGTAGTGAGCCGAGACACATGCCAGTGCACTGCAGCCTGGGCAACAGAGCGAGATTCTCTCTCAAAAAAAAAAAAATATATATATATATATAAAAATTGGCAGACACCGACCCATCATCATCCAAAAGCCATAGGGTTTACTCTTAGTGTTGTTCATTCTGGGAACTTAGACAAATGTATAGTGACATGGATCCACCATTATTTATTTATTTATTTTTTTGAGATGGAGTCTCGCTCTGTCGTCACCCAGGCTAGAGTGCCGTAACGCAATCTCAGTTCACTGCAACCTCCGCCTCCTGGGTTCAAGTGATTCTTCTGCCTCAGCCTCCCGAGTAGCTGGGACTACAGGCACACACCAGATACCCAGCTAAGTTTTTGTATGTTTAGTAGAGACAGGGTTTCACCATGTTGGCCAGGCTTGTCTTAAACTCCTGACCTCAAGTGGTCCTCCTGCCTCAGCCTCCCAAAGTGCTGGGATTGCAGGCATGAACCACCATGCCCAGTCAAAAATGTTTAATTTTTTAGTTTGAATGGAGCCCAGTTTATCAGTTATTTTATTCATGGATTGTGTCTTCAGTATTGCACTTTTACCGTCTAATTCTTGCTTTCTCTGACATGTTTAGGTTTGTGTCTCAATCTAATAAAGAAGCCTACGTGATCTCTCTCTATATTAACAACCCTTTACTAATTGGCGGGAGGAAGTTCGACCTGCGCTTGTACGTTCTGGTGTCTACGTACCGTCCGCTGCGCTGTTACATGTAAGCATCCCTAAGGTTTTGGTTTCCTCTTGATTGTGTTTTCACCTTAAACTTCCTCCTCCTTAGCACCGTTGTGAGGTTTGATAAAACAGTGCATGTGCAGTGCCTGGCACAGGGCAGGGATCGAGGGACATAAGAACGGTCAGCCCTGATGCTGATGTGAGTTGTGTAAATCACCCACACAAAAGCAGCTCTTTTTAGAGAATGATGTGGTGTCTGTTCTTTGTGTTTCTCCTCGGAGTTCACATTAATCTACATTCCCACCTAGGTATAAGCTTGGGTTTTGCCGGTTTTGCACAGTGAAATACACCCCAAGTACCAGTGAGCTGGACAACATGTTCGTTCATCTCACCAACGTTGCCATCCAGAAACATGGGGTGAGTGTGTCCTTCCATTTGTGCTTATAGAAATGGACTGATTTTTCAGGCTGGGCGTGGTGGCTCACACCTATTATCCCAGCACTTCGGGAGGCTGAGGTGGATCACCTGAGGTCAGGAGTTCAAGGCCAGCCTGACCAACACGGTGACATCCCATCTCTACTAAAAAAATACAGAAATTACTGTGGTGGCACTCACCTGTAATCCTAGCTACTTGGGAGGCTGAGGCAGGAGAATTGCTTGGACCTGGGAGGCAGAGGCTGCAGTGAGCCAAGATCAAGCCATTGCACTCCAGCCTGGGCAACAGAGGGAGACTTTGTCTCAAAAAAAAAAAAAAAAGAAAAGAAAAAAGGACCTACTTTGTGGGGTATTTTCCTTCTATTTTTTCAAGAACAGTGTGGGAAAGGAGTGATACTCAAGGTATGTCCTGGCTTAAGGCTGGACACTGATGGGACTGTGAGGCTCTGGGCATAGGTGGACTGGCCTGGGGCACATCAGCTGAATGCCAGGGACAGGTGGGGGCGCCTGGAGAAAGAAGACTGTAGGCTCAAGTCCTGCCTTTCTAGTGCTGCGGCCTTGGGCAAGTCAGTCTAACTCTCAGAGCCTCAGTTTCTCCATTTATAAAAGGAGATCATAGAGGCCAGGAGCAGTGGCTCACGCCTATAATCCCAGCACTTTGGGAGGCCGAGGCAGGCGGATCACGAGGTCAAGAGATCAAGACCATCCTGGTCAACATGGAGAAACCCCGTCTTTACTAAAAAATAAAATACAAAAATTAGCCGGGCATGGTGACGCACACCTCTAGTCCCAGCTACTTGGGAGGCTAAGGCAGGAGAATCACATGAACCCAGGAGGCAGAGGTTTCAGTGAGCCAAGATCGTGCCACTGCACTCCAGCCTGGGCAACAAGAGTAAAACTCTATCTCAAAGAAACAATAATAAATAAATAAATAAATGGAGATCATAGTATTACCTTGCAGGACTGTTGGGAGAATGTCATGAGATGACAGTCCCTGATTTACCTGGCTTAGCTTACAGTCGTTCACGTTTTCAGTGGTGTGAAATCGACATGCATTCGGTAGGAACCGTACCCATGCAACCATTTGTTTTTTTGGTTTGAGTACAGTAGTCAATAAATTATGTGAGCTGTTTCACACTTTATTATATAATAGGCTTTGTGTTTGATGATTTTTGTTCAACTTCAGGCTACTATAAGTGATCTCAGCATATTTTAGATAGGCAAGGCTAGCTGTGATATTCAGTAGGTTAGGTGTATTCAATGCATTTCCTTTTTTTTTTTTTGAGATGGAGTCTTGCTCTGTTGCCCCAGCTGGAGCGCAGTAGCACGATCATGGCTCACCGCAACCTCTGCCTAACCTGGGTTCAAGCGATTCTGCTGACTTAGCCTCCTGAGAAGCTGAGACTAACAGGCACCTGCCACCACACCCAGGCTAATTTTTGTATTTTATTTATTTATTTTTTTGAGACAGAGTTTTGCTCTTATTACCCAGGCTGGAGTGCAATGGCGCGATCTCAGCTCACCGCAACCTCCACCTCCTGGGTTCAGGCAATTCTCCTCCCTCAGCCTCCTGAGTAGCTGGGACTACAGGCACACGCCACCATGCCAGCGAATTTTTTGTATTTTTAGTAGAGATGGGGTTTCACCATGTTGACCAGGATGGTCTCGATCCCTTGACCTCGTGATCCACCCGCCTCGGCCTCCCAAAGTGCTGGGATTACAAGCATGAGCCACCGCGCCCGGCCCTTAATTTTTGTATTTTTAGTAGAGACAGGGTTTCACCATGTTGGCCAGGCTGGTCTCGAACTCCTGACCTCAAGTGATCTGCCTACCTCAGCCTCCCAAAGTGCTGGGATTACAGGCATGAGCCACTGTGCCTGGCCTTAAGTGCACTTTCAACTTACAATATTTGTAACTTGCTATGGCTTTATCTGGACATAACCCTATTGAGGGGCATCTGTACGCTTTGAGCACCTATGTGAGTTGATCCCATTCCGAGTGCTCAGGATACAGTGATAGGCAAAGCCTACCTTAGTACCTACTCTCATGGTTCCCAGAGCTTCCAGGGGAGACATTCATCAAATAATCACCCTTATGAACCTAAAACTACAAACCCAGCTGCTTGCACTGAAAGTGAGGAACACACATCTAGAAGAGCATGGAACAAAAGAAGCCCCTGGTCAAGTGGTCGGAGAAGGCTTCCCTGCAGAAGTGGTGCTGGAGCCAAGATCTGAAGCATGAGCAGGGATAATCCGGAGGAGGTAGGGAGGTTCCATAGCAGTGAGTACAGTGTGTGCCAAGGCCCTGTTGCAAGAAGAAGCATTACAGGGGCCGAGAGGAAGCCAGTGTGGCGGGAGCCCCAGTGTGAGGGTAATAGACTGGGAGGGGCTGGAGAGGCCAGTGAGGCCAGTCACACAGGGCTTATGGGCTCAGTTCAGGTTTGGGGCTCTAATTTCACCCCAACACAAACCAAAGTTCTCATTTCTTTTATTTTCTTTCTACTATTACTTTCTTGAGATGGAATTTTGCTCTTCTTGCCCAGGCTGGAGTGCAATGGCACAATCTCAGCTCACCACAACCTCCACCTCCCTGGTTCAAGCAATTCTCCTGCCTCAGCCTCCCAAGTAGCTGGGATTACAGGTGTGTGCCACCACGCCCAGCTAATTTTGTATTTTTAGTAGAGATGAGGTTTCTCCATGTTAGTCAGGCTAATCTCAAACTCCTTATCTCAGGTGATCCACCTGCTTGCCTTGGCCTCCCAAAGTGTTGGGATTACAGGTGTGAGCCGCCTTGCCCAGCCCAAAGGTCTCATTTCTTTTTTTTTTTTTTTTTCTGAGATGGAGTTTCGCTCTTGTTACCTAGGCTACAGTGCAGTGACAGGATCTCAGCTTATTGCAACCTCCACCTCCTGGGTTCAAGTGATTCTCCTGCCTCAGCCTCCCGAGTAGCTGAGATTACAGGTGTGCACCACTATTCCCAGCTAAACATTTGTATTTTTGTAGACTGGGTTTCACCATGTTGGCCAGGCTGGTCTCGAACTCCTGACCCCAGGTGATCCACCCGCCTCAGCCTCCCAAAGTGCTGGGATTACAAGCATGAGCCACCACACCCAGCCAGGTCTCATTTCTTTATGAAAGTCTTTCTTTGATTTGAATCTTCTTTGAATAGAAGTCTTGAATGCTCTGTCTTTTTTATAATTTGAGGAGAAAGAAAGTGAGTAGTGGTAAGAAATACGTATTTCTGAAGAACCTGCTGAAGAGTTTGGTCAGAGGAGGCTGGGCTCAGTCCTCAGGCCATCACTTACTCTGTGTGACTTGGGCAGTTCCCCAGCCCTCCAGGCCTCACAGCTGCCAGCAGGAGCCAGCAATTCACCTTGCTGGCCTTGGGATGATGATGGCCACCATTTACTGGAACCAAGTGGCTTCCACATGTGGCTGGCCTGACTCACTTGCCCTTCAGGTCTTCCTGAGATCAAACCAAGCAAGTGTCAGTTTTACAAATTTTGCTTTTTATTTATGTATTTATTATTAAGTAGTTTTCTAGACAGAATCTTGCTGTGTCTCCAGGCTGGAGTGCAGTAGCACGATCTTGGCTCCCCTGCTACCTCCGCCTCCCGGGTTCAAGTGATTCTCCTGCCTCAGCCTCCTAAGTAGCTGGGATTACAGGTGCATGCCACCACACCTGGCTGGGGTTTTTTAGTAAAAAAGTGGTTTCACCAGCCGGGCGCAGTGGCTCACGCCTGTAATCCCAGCACTTTGGGAGGCCGAGGCAGGTGAATCACCTGAGGTCAGGAGTTCAAGACCAGTCTAACCAATATGATGAAACCCTGTCTCTATTAAAAAAAAAAAGTTAAAAAAATAAATAAAGGGGTTTCACCATCTTGACCAGGCTGGTCTCGAACTACTGACTTCAGGTGATCCTCCCACCTCAACTTCCCAAAGTGCTGGGATTACAGGCATAAGCCACCACATGTGGACTTTATTTTAAAATATGGCTAATTCTCCTTTTATCTGCTTTGAGTCAGTGCTGTTTGCTTGAGCAGTTAGTAGGCTGGTTTTGTTTCAGTTCATGGTTCTCACTTTATACTTAGAAAATGAAATCACAGTCCCCCAACAATGTAAAATACTCCGGTATTTTCTAGCTCTTTGCCTTCAAAGGCAAGCATTGTATGGATAATTAATTTTCAGGGGTGGCAAAACAGAAAGGGCGCAGAACTGGCATCAGAACGTTTGGGCTGGGCGCCCAGCTCCATCCCAGCCCAGGAGGAAAGCTTGGGCAAGTAACAGCTTCTCTGAGCCTGGGCTTCCCTGTGAAATGGGATGATGATGGTGACTTCTCAAGGTTGTTAGAGAATTATGGGTGGTGCTTTTAAACTGTAGTGCACAGCCCAGGTGTGTCTTAGGTTGGCTTCCCCAGGAAAGACTCTGAGAGAAGTCAGTGTTCAGGGGGTTTCCTGGGGCCCAGTGTCAGGGGCAACACCTGTGAGGGAGGTGAACGGACCCAGCAGAGGGAGAATCGAGCTGTGATCTTGCTGCAGTGGAGGCCTCAGCCCACGCCGGGACACTGTGGAGCAGGGATGGCCCTGCAGAGCTGTCCTGGAGGGAGCAGAGGCTGACAGCTGGCCTCAGCCAGACATTGGATGCCGCTGCCCTTAGGGAGGGCTTCAGCCCTGGGTTAGGGCACTCCCTCAAGCCAAGGGCACTCCCAGTTCGGGTCTCAGCTGGAAGAATGAGTGCCTTGGTCTTGAAGGGTATCCTGGCAGCACTCCACAGTCTTGCTGTGAGGCATAAATGATTAATGTTGAGAGTATTAGGGAGATGAGTATTTACAAATACCCATATAAGGCCGGTCCCGGTGGCTCATGCCTATAATCCTAGCACTTTGGGAGGACGAGGCAGGCAGAGCACCTGAGGTCAGGAGTTCAGGACCAGCCTGGCCAACATGGTGAAACCTGCTCTCTACTAAAAACACAAAACTTAGCCGAGCTTGATGGCAGGTCCCTGTAATCCCAGCTACTTGGGAGGCTGAGGCAGGTGAATCGCTTGAACCTGGGAGGTGGAGGTTACAGTGAGCCAAGATCACGCCCTTGCCCTCCAGCCTGGGTGACAAATCAAGACCCCATCTCAAAAAAAAGAAACCACCCACATAATAAGAGGCCCAGATGGCCAGGATACAGGCTCCTGCCTGTAATCCCAGCACTTTGGGAGGCCGAGGCAGGTCTATCACCTGAGGTTGGGAGTCTGAGACTAGCCTGACCAACATGGAGAAACCCTGTCTATACTAAAAAAAAAAAAAAAAAAAAAATTAGCTGGGCGCAGTGGCAGGTGCCTGTATAATCCCACCTACTGAGGAGGCTGAGGCAGGAGAATCTCTTGAACCCAGCAGGCGGAGGTTGAGTGAGCTGAGATCGAGCCACTGCACTCTAGCCTGGGTGACACAGCAAGACTTCATTTCAAAAAAAAAAGGAAAATATGCGCCCAGATCTCCCTGGGGCAGAGGTCCCATCTGCCTTGTTGCTGGACGCCTGCACTTAGGGGACACTCCTGAAATGCTTGGGGGATGGAAGGGTTCCACGGGGCTCCTCTGGGGTGCACAGCCTGAGGGACGCCTACCTGCTTTGCTGTTGCCAGGATGACTACAACCACATCCACGGGGGCAAGTGGATGGTCAGCAACTTGCGGCTCTACCTGGAGAGCACCCGTGGCAAGGAGGTGACCAGCAAGCTGTTCGACGAGATCCACTGGATCATCGTACAGTCCCTGAAGGCCGTGGCAGTGAGTTGGTGCGGGCGGGGGAGCTGGCTCTAAGGGCACGTTTGGGAATGGTGGAACTTGCTGTTCTTTTGTTAAAAATACCTGTTTTGGGCCGGGTGCAGTGGCTCACACCTGTAATCCCAGCACTTTGGGAGGCCGAGGCGACGGATCACCTGAGGTCAGGAGTTCAAGAGCGGACTGGCCAACATGGTGAAACCCATCTGTACTCAAAATAAAATAATTAGCTGGGTGTGGTGGCACACACCTGTAATCCCAGCTACTCAGGAGGCTAAGGCAGGAGAATCGCTAGAACCCTGGAGGCAGAGGTTGCAGTCAGCCAAGATTGCACCACTGCACTCTAGCCTAGGCAACAGAGCTCTGTCTCAAAAAACAAAAACAAAACCACTCTTTTCAGCCATGCATGGTGGCTCACACCTGTAATCCCAGCACTTTGGGAGGCCGAGGCAACGGATCACCTGAGGTCAGGAGTTCAAGACCAGCCTGGCCAACATGGTAAAATCCCATCTGTACTAAAAATACAAAATTAGTCGGGTGTGGTGGTGCATGCCTGTGATCCCAGCTACTTGAGGCTGAGGCAGGAGAATTGCTTGAACCTAGGAGGCAGAATTTGCAGTGAGCCAAGATTACACCATTGCACTCCATTCTGGGCAAAAGGAGTGAAACTCTGTCTCAAAAAAAAGAAAGAAAGATGATGTCTGGTGGGCGCCTTCACTTTCTGCACTTTGAGTGAAGCTTTTCCAGCTTTCAAAGTGGTGTGTGAGCACAGTATGTGGGTTCCTCCTGCTTTTTTTTTTTTTTGAGATGGAGTGTTGCTCTGTTGCCCAGGCTGGAGTGCAGTGGTGCAATCTCAACTCACTGTAACCTCCACCTCCAAATTTAAGCGATGCTCCTGCCTCAGCCTCCTGAGTAGCTGGGATTACAGGCATACACCACCACGCCCAGCTAATTTTGTGTTTTTAGTAGAGACAGGGTTTCACCATGGTCAGGCTGGACTTGACCTTCTGACCTCATGATCCGCCAGCCTTGGTCTCCCTAAGTACTGGGATTGCAGAAGTGAGCCACTGTGCCCGGCCCCATCCTGTGACTTTGACTTACAGTGAGGATCCAGATAGATAAAACCCCCAGGACCTAGTTCCTTGCTGGAGATTCGTCTTAGGGGCTGAGCGCCCCATCTCTTGTCCCCCTGAAGCTCCTTATGCCTTGGTGGTTTGGGTTGCACCTTGGGTGATGGGTAACGAGTGTGGAGTTCAGATCTGATTTCATGCCAGGCCCCATCATGAGCCAACAGGGGACTTAGCTCAAGAGCCTCCTCTTACTGAGCCTCAGATGTCTTATCTGTGAAATTGGGACTGTGACACCAGTGTCATGGGGGGTATGTGAGCAGTGCTCTGCACTTCGTGATTGGGAAGAGTTAAATGCCATTAATCTGTTAAAACGTGATTGTGTGAATTCTAATACCTGGTTACCCAGCCCTTTGCTCTCCCTTCCCAGCCTATTTTAGTCTTCCTTGCATTGGCAGACCTTTGAGAAAAAGTTAGCTGTTTTCAGGGAAACCTGTATTCCCTCAGTCTAGCCCTCTGGCAAGTGCCTCTGATTGGCTCTTTCTGGGCTTCAGTTTCGTGAACTGAAAAGCTGTTATCATAGATTTCTAAGGCTCTGTGGGTCTTTGGAGCAGGGATTTATATTTTCAGTTTTTATTCACTTAGCAAATAGTTCATCACCTGTTTTTTTTTTTTTGAGATGGAGTTTCGCTCTGGTAGCCCATGCTGGAGTGCAATGGCCTAATCTCGGCTCACTGCTACCTCCACCTCCCTGGTTCAAGCAATTCTCCTGCCTCAGCCTCTCAAGTAGCTGGGATTACAGGCATGCGCCACCACACCTGGCTAATTTTGTATTTTTAGTAGAGACAGGGTTTCTCCATGTTGGTTGGGCTGGTCTTGAACTCCCGACCTCAGGTGATCTGCCCTCCTTGACCTCCCAAGTGCTGGGATTACAGACATGAGCCACCTTGTCCAGATTTTTTTGTATTTGTAGTAGACACAAGGTTTCGCCATGTTGGGCAGGCTGGTCTCAAACTCCCCACCTCAGGTGCTCCCCCCGCCTCGGCCTCTGAAAGTATTGGGATTACAGGCGTCAGCATTGTATCCAGTCATGTTTCTTTTTTTGTTTGTTTTTAAGTGACAGGTTCTCTCTCTGTCACCTAGGCTGGAATGCAGTGGCACGATCATGGCTCCTTGCACTCCAGGACTCCTCTCCGTACTCCTCTTCCTCCCAGCCTCAAGCTGTCTGGAGTAGTTGGGACTACAGGTGCATGCCACCACACCCAGCTAAATTTTTTATTTTTTGTAGAGGCAGGGTCTCGCTGTGTTGCCCAGACTGGTCTCAAAGTCCTGGGTTCAAGTGATCCTCCCACCTTGGCCTCCCAAAGTGCTGGGATGACAGACATGAGCCACTGCACACAGCCACAGGTGATATTATTTATGTATCTGGAGGTCAGTTAATCCAGGGTGTATCTCAGTGACATGGAATTGAAAGTTACAAAGGAAACTAAAAAATTGTTTGTAAATGGATTTACATTTATCACTGGGAACAGAGGTTAATGGTCTGGCACCAGCTACCTAAGGGCCTGGGACGGGCGACGGACAGCCTGGTGGACAGTTCGTGTTTCTCTGTGATAAGGCTAAGCAGTCTGTCACTGTGGGTTCTGGGCTTGGAGCAGGATGTCTGTCCACTCTCATGACAGGCTCACACCGGCAGAGGGCTTGGGTACTAGTCAAGCCTCTGATGAGTAAGATGCAGAGACGCCCGTTATGGCTTCATCAGTTCTCTCTATCAGGCCAAGGAAAGTGCCCAGTCTCTGAGCTCTGTGGGAGGAAGAGGGGAAGCAGGGAAGGAAGCCTTTGGGGTGGAGGATGGGAACCCTTGCTGTGGGAGGTCAGGACCATGGGGACGATCCTGTTTGTCTCTGAAGCGTTGGTCTCCGCTGCGCCCTTCGGTACTGGCCCTGTAACCCACTGGTCACTCTCTCCTCAGCCGGTGATGAACAATGACAAGCACTGCTTCGAATGCTATGGCTACGACATCATCATTGACGACAAGCTGAAGCCCTGGCTGATCGAGGTAACCACGGCAGTGCCCGCACCTGGCCGCACCACACACAGCCCCCAACACACTTCTGTCCCAACTTGGGCCTGGCAGTCCCCCAGTCCCCAGATATTTCTCAGGCCAGGCAGGAAGGGGACTGATGTTCAGGTTGGATGGTTTGCTGTTGGGTGAGGTATAAGCACATTCCTGCATTGCTCCCCTCCCAGTGCCCAGCCCACCACAGGGAGCTGTGGCCCGTCTCATGTGAACTTGGTGGCTGCAACACCTCCAGGGTGACTCTGGGCTAGTCCGTCCTCCCTCAGTCCTGTATGCTACCTGTCACCTGGGTGGCAGTGTTCCCGTCTAGGAAAGCAGCTCACAGCTCTGGAAGCCCTTGGCCAGCAGGAGCACACTCCTAAAGAAGGAACATCGCTACTATTCTTTTTTTTTTTGTTTTTGAGACAGAGTCTCTCTCTGTTGCCCAGGCCGGAGTGCAGTGGCATAGCCTTTGCCTCCTGTATTCAAGCAATTCAATTCTCCTGCCTCAGACTCCCAAGTAGCTGGGACTACAGGCGCATGTTACTACACCCGGATAATTTTTTTGTATTTAGTAAAGACAGAGTTTCACTGTGTTGCCCAGGCTCATCTTGAACTCCTGAGCTCAGGCAATCCACCCACTTTGGCCTCCCAAATTGCTAGGATTACAGGAGTGAACCACCACACCTGGCTAACGATTCTTTCTTTTTTTTTTCTGTCTTGAGACAGGGTCCCACTCTGACCTAGGCTAGAGGCAATGGCGCAGTCATAGCTCACTGCAGCCTCCAGCTTCTGGGCTCAAGTGATCCTCCTGCCTCAGCCTCCCAAGTAGATAGGACTACAGGCACATACTACCATGCCTGGCTAATGTTTTTGTTTTTTTGTAGAGATAGGGTTTCACTATGTTGCCCAAGCTGGTTTTAAACTCAAGTGATCCTCCTGCCTTGACCTCCCAAGATGCTGGAATTACAAGTGTGAGCCACTGCTCCCAGCCCTTTTTTTTTTTTTTTTTTAATTTTAGTTTCCGGGGCACATGTGTAGGTTTGTTACATGAATGTATTGCAAAATGTTGGGCTTTGGGCTTCTCTGGAACCTGTCACCCAAATAGTGAACATGGTATTCAATAGGGAGTTGTTTTTTTTTTTTTCAGAGTGGGTTTTGTTGTCTGTAGATAAGAATCCTGGTTGATAAATCCATTGTGAAAGCATAGTGAGACCTCATGGAGACTAGGATCAGAGAGTTATTTAGCATGCAAGGCCGCTGTAAGAGGTTAATGTCAGGAGTTCGAGGACCTTTGCTCTAGAGAAGCTGTGCTCAATTGCTTTGTTTGAGGCTGAGGCTGTTGTTACTGCCTGTTTGACATCCCTTCAGCAATAACCATTTTCTTTCTTTTTTTTTAATGGATTAGAGGTTTCAGTGGGAAGGGAGAATCACAAGGAATCAGGTGTTCAGAGGAATGTATTGAGTAGAGGTGAGGAACTAGGATGTTGAAAAGTAAAAAAAGGAGAGAAGGAGAGGGAAAAAGAGGAAGAAAAAGAGGGAGAGAGAACAGGAATATTGCTTCATTGTAAAAATGGGTATTAATAATGGCCGATCAATATTTTGTGTATTTAAAATGGAGAACTCTATAAATATTTATTGAGTTTACTTGTTCCGGATCTGAGTTGAAGTCCTGGATATCCTTATTAATTTTCTGTCTCGTTGAGTCTAAATCTCGTTATGGGTCTTATGTATCTGGGTATTAAGATCTCTTATTGTTGCATTGATCCTTTTACCACTGTATCTTTGTTGCTTTGAAATCTATTTTATCAAATGTGAGAATTACAACTCCTGCTTTTTGTTTATTTATTTAGTTTTGCTCTCCATTTGGTTGGTAAATTTTTCTCCAACCCTTTGTTTTGAGTCTTTGTGTATCTTTGGATATACCATTAGGTTTTGGCTGTATCTTTTGATTGGGGGATTTAGTCGATTTAAATTTAGGGTTACTGCCATTTGATGTTAACTGGCTATTTTACAATAGGGAGCTTTTAAACCCTTGCCTTCTTCTTCCCTCCCCCCTTTGGAAACCCTCGTGTTTTGGGTATATTTTAATTTTCGAGACGGAATCTTGTTCTGTCACCCAGGCTGGAATGCAGTAGAACGATCTCGGCTCACTGCTAACCTCTACCTCCCGAGTTCAAGCGATTCTCATGCCTTAGCCTCCCGAGTAGGTGGGATTATAAATACGTGGCTAATTTTTGTATTTTTAGTGGAGACAAGTTTTTACCATGTTGGTCAGGCTGGTCTTGAACTCATGACGTCATAATTCACCTGCCGCAGCCTCCCAAAGTGCTGGGATTACAGCCATGAGCCGCCACACCCAGCCTGAGACTTGATCTCTTAAAAAAACAAAACAAAACAAAAAAAAAACCAGGCCAGGCACAGTGGCTCATGCCTGTAATCCTAGCACTTTGGGAGGCTGAAGCGGGTAAATCACGAGGTCAGGAGTTCAAGACAAGCCTGGCCAGCATGGTAAAACCCTGTCTCTACCAAAAATACAAAAAATTAGCTGCACATGGTTATACATGCCTGTAATCCCAGCTACTCAGGAGGCTGAGGCAGGAGAAATTGCTTGAACCTGGGAGGCAGAGGTTGCAGTGAGCTAAGATCACACCACTGCACCCCAGCCTGGGCAACAGAGCAAGACTCCATCTCAAAAAAAAAAAAAAAAAAAGACCAAGTCTCACTCTGTGGTCCAGGCTGGATTGTAATGTCACCATCATAGCTCACTGCAGCCTTGAACTCCTGGCTCAAGAGCTCTTCTTACCTCAGCCTCCTGTGCACCTGGGACCAGAGGTATGTGCCACTCCTCCCAGATAATTTTTTTTTTTTTTTTTTTGTAGACACGGGTCTTGCTGTGTTGTAAACTAGTCTCAAACGCCTACCTTCAAGCGGTCCTTCCACCTCGGCCTCCCAAAGTGCTGGGATTATAGGTGCAAGCCACTGCACACAGCCTAATAACAATTTTTAACTTCCATATATTCATAATAAGAATTATAGTATTATGCTATACTACAGTGGTCATTTTGAGGACAGTGATGTCTGTGCAATTCTTTGGCACAGTACACATTCGATACCCTGCTAGCATCACAGAGAGGCAGTCTGACTGGGAGAAACCTGAACAGCTTGCAGATTTGCTCCCTTTAATCTCCCATGGCCTGAAACAGTTAACCAAAATCATTAGAACTGTGCACAAAATATGGGTAAATAAGTAGGGACTGACTGGGCATGGTGGCTCATGGCTGTCATCCCATGACACCAAGGCAGGCAGATCAGGAGTTCGAGACCAGCCTGACCAACGTGGCAAAACCCCGTCTCTACTAAAAATACAAAAATTAGCCGGGCATGGTGGCTGGCACCTGTAGTCCCAGCTACTCAGGAGGCTGAGACAGGAGAATTGCTTGAACCCAGGATGCAGAGCTTGCAGGGAGCCGAGATCGTGCCACTGCACTCCAGCCTGGGTGACAGAGCGAGACTCCATCTCAAAAAAAACAAACAAAAAACCAGCTACTGAGGGCCTATGGGACTCTCCACAGAGCAAAGTGAATGTCTACATTTGAATGTATGGATTTCGTGACATTGCTCGGCTTCTCAGAGGCCTTATGGGACTACCTTTCCATGTGTTGGAAGGATTCATCATTTGAGTTTGAATCTGCTTTTTTTTCTTTTTTTGTGAGATAGAGTCTCACCCTATCGCCCAGGCTGGAGTGCAGTGGCGTGATCTCAGCTCATTGCAACCTCTGCCTCCCGGGTTCAAGTGATTCTTCTGCCTCAGACCCTTGAGGAGCTGTGACTACAAGTGTTCGCCACCATGCCTCACTCACTTTTTGTATCTTTAGTAGAGACGGGGTTTCACCGTGTTAGCCAGGCTGGTCTCGAACTCCTGACCTCGTGATCCGCCCGCCTCGGCCTCCCAAAGTGCTGGGATTACAGGCGTGAGTCACTGCACCTGGCCTAAGAACACTGCTTTGTTGATATTACTCTCTTAGCAAAAAAGGGAGCCCATTGCCTTTTACTTAAACCCACACTGCTGCCTGGGCAGGGTCTTTGGTTCGCTGAGTCTAACAAACCCCTGGGGGTTCTGGGTACTTAGGACAGAACCAGTCACACAGGTAGACACTGAAATTATGTTTGTTTTCTATTCTGGCCCCAAAATGTTTGTTTGTGTGATTGCTGATTTGTAGATCCTAATTCTAATCCTACCTTTGAGTATTACCTATATTTCATTGAACAGCTAATAAAAGTGAATCACAAAGTGCTTCTTATCCAAGGTGCTCTGACGGTATTAGATAATCGCAATGTTAAATAACAACCTTTTTTTTTTGTTTTGAGACGGAGTCTCTCTCTTTGTTGCCCAGGCTGGAGTTGCAGTGGCTCGATCTCAGCTCACTGCAACCTCTGCCTCCTGGGTTCAAGCAATTCTTCTACTTCAGCCTCCCGAGTAGCTGGGACTACAGGAGCATGCCACCACACCTGGTTAATTTATATATATATATATTTTTAGTAGAGACAGGGCTTCACCATATTGGTTAGGCTGGTCTTGAACTCCTGACCTCATGATCTGCCCACCTTGGCCTCCCAAAGTTCTGGGATTACAGGCGTGAGCCGCTGCACCCGGCGCAACAACCTTACTGAAGTGTGCAGCAGCCAGCATCTCCTCTGCAGTGCACGTTCTCATTCCGAAAGAGAGAGAGAAGCAGATGAGGAATGTGGGTCTTTTCCTCTCACAGGTGAATGCATCCCCGTCTCTCACCTCCAGCACTGCCAACGATCGAATCCTCAAGTATAACCTGATTAATGACACCCTCAACATTGTGGTCCCCAACGGCGAAATTCCAGACTGCAAATGGAACAAGTCACCCCCAAAGGAAGTCCTTGGCAATTACGAGATTCTGTAAGTTTGTGAGTGACTGTGTGCTTGTCCTTCTGTGTCTCTGAACAGCGTGTACCACAACCCAGCTTGGATTTCTGGGCATGTGTGGATTCCCCTTATTTGAGCAGTGTTTCATTTATTAACGACATTATGGGATAGATTGTGTTATAGCAGAAAGTCAGTTTATTTATTTTATTACTACTTTTTTTTTTGAGAGGGAGTCTTGCTCTGTCACCAAGGCTGGAGTGTAATGGCGTGATCTTGGCTCACTGCAATCTCCACCTCCCAGGTTCAAGCGATTCTCCTGCCTCAGCCTCTCAAGTAGCTGGGATTACAGGCACGTGCCACCACGCCTGGCTAATTTTTGTATTTTTAGTAGAGATGGGGTTTCACCTTGTTGGCCATGCTGGTTTTGAACTCCTGACCTCAAGTGATCCTCCTGCCTCAACCTCCTAAAGTGCTGGGATCTACTGTGCCTGGCCCAGAAAAGCAGTTCGGGTGCTAAACTTGATCATTGTGTATTCTGCTCATGACGTACGTGCGAGGTACTGATCACATGCCAGGCCCCCGTTAGCTGCCAGGATAGCTGCAGCAGGGTGGATGGAGCGCTTGTTTCTCACAGGTCACCTGGGCTCATTCCCTAGTGTTGCCATGTAAAGCTGGGTGGTGACAGTGAGGAATTCAGTGCTACTGTTGGAGCCTCAGTTTGTCCACCTTTAAATGGGTCTAATAAGATGTATCTTACGGAGTGGGAAGGAAATAGCTAACCTTCGAGGACTTACCATGCATCAGAAACTATGCAGAGTGCTTTACACACAGTATCAATTCCTTTCCCTAGTAACGTTTTGAAGTGGGTAAGAGTATTAGTTCCATTTCACAGATGTGGAAACAAAGGCTTAGAGCAGTTCCATGGCATGCCTGTAGTGGCAAAAGTGGGAACAAAGTGGGAGCCTGTCAGGAGTGTGGTGGCTGAATACAGTATGGTTCATTCATTCCATGGTCTATTAGGTGGCCTTTAAAAAGGCTGACCCAGAAGCAGGACGGTGGCCATGGAAGTTGGAATCCGCTAAGGAGTGTGTAACAACTCAACCTGCTGAAAAAAAAAAGGGACTGACCCAGAGCTACCCTATGGTGCCTGGGAGGTGGCCTGGGAAAAACTATTGCAGAAAAGGGTATATAATGTAATCCTCGTAAAACATGGACCTCAGAGCCCTCTGTGTGTGCGTACGGTGACGTGTGCAGTATCTTACATGCGAATGTGTGAGCAGGGAAATGTGAAAGGACACACATCATGTCAGCATCGATTCCGCAGTCGAGTGGGTGTCGAGGGAGCCAGAGAATAGAGGGAAACAGATGGCAATAAAAGGCGGAGGAGTAGGTGTGTTGGGATCACAGTTATACTCTTCTGTCAAAGCAAAAATGTGCATTTAATCTAAATTTTTTAAAAACAAAGGCAGAAATATTTAGTGACATTTACACACAGCAACGTCAGGCTTGCAGCTGGTAGGCACTGCTGGTGGGAGGGTTTGAACACAGGCCCAGGACTCGAGAGCCCATGCTTAGCTGCCTCCTGCCCCTGCCGCGGGTGATGTGTGGTGTGGATGGGCGTGTCACAGCTCGTCGCCTGGGACAGGAGGAGCAGGTGGAAGGGGTGTTTAGGTGGAAGTATGCTGGGCTTGCCTGCAACCTCAGGACCTCTGCAGGGTGGTGGCTGTGAACCTCAGGGGCGACCAGTCAGTGTGTGGTTGGTGGGTCTTTCCATCCACGGTCAGCTGCCTGGGCTAGGTATAGAGAAGGCAGAGGGTTGGGAGGGACCAGAGTTGGGAGCGTGCAATGGCAAGAGAGAGGGCAGCAGGGACAGGAGGAGGTGGGGGTGGGTGGCAGTCCCATGGGGCAGGTTGGAGTCAGGCACTAGAGAAGAGAGCTGGGAGGAGCAGGGGCAGTGGTCAGGGAGTAAGCACTTGCCATGGAGATAATGCGAGTGGTGACAAGGCTTGGGGACTCCTGGGGATGGACTAAGATGGAGTAGAGGACAGGGTCATCAGCGGTCATGGAGGTGGGGTTTTCATCTGTTTGATCATTGCCATCACCTGCAACTATGGACTAGGAACCTGGGTCTCTAAGGGATGGGGGTGGTGACCAGGAGGACTGGAGGTGACTGCACGAGGTGGGGAGGTAACTGTGATGACCAGGCCTGGGGAGAACTGGGGGTTTTAGGGAGGAGGCCCCCCTCCAGCGGGGAGTATGGTGGGTGGGAGAGAAAGCAGCCCCCACCCCAGGGGCTGCAGGGGAAGCAGTGTCTTCCAGGAGACCCAGTAGCCTGTTAGAGCAGGAAGGAAAATGAAGGACAAGTGGAGGGCATGGTGGGTGCAAAAACAGGCAGAGGGTTCCGGAATCTGCAGAGGGTGACTCTGGGGATGGGATCAGACTGGGGTTGGCAGCCTGGGAGGTGAAGGGTGATCTCAGGGCTGGGAATGGCAGCTGTGATGGCGGCCTTGGGGGCTGGGTCCTGATGGCCCATGTGCTATAGGACCGAGGGGGTCTGTGAGGGTGCACAGGGGTGGGGACCATTTGGGGGAGACTTGTCAGTAGCATGAGGACCTTGGGGGGTTCTCTTCAGTCCAGCTGGGGGAGGCTGACTTGTTGGGAGCGTGTGGGGTCTCTGCCCTGTCCAGCCCTGGCCTCCTTGAGGGAGTGGGCCAGACTTGCCATCTCCAGGCTAAGTAGAGGCCAAGCTGAGCCCAGTGGCTCACACCTGTAATCCCAGCACTTTGGGAGGCTGAGGCGGGTGGATCACCTGAGGTCAGGAGTTCAAGTCCAGCCTGGCCACCATGGTGAAACCCCGTCTCTACTAAAAATACAAAAAGTTAGCTGGGCATGGTGGTGCGTGCCTGTAATCCCAGCTACTTGTGAGGCTGAGGGCGGGATAATGGCTTGAACCCAGGAGGTGGAGGTTGCAGTGAGCTGAGGCTACGCCACTGCACTGCAGCCTGTGCAACAGAGTGAAACTCCGCCTCAAAAATAAAGAAAGAAGGAAATAAAGCAGAGCCCAGAGCCTCATTGCTTTTAGTTGAAGAGACAACAAGGTGACCCCTCCTGATCTAGCCATCCTCTCCCGGCTCCTGAGGGGTAACGGAGGGCTCCTGTGTGTAGCTGATGGTCTCTAAATGCTTCCGTCAGGGCTCACTTACCCTAGTCATTCAGATGATCAGAGAACCTAGGTCTGTGTTCAGGTGCAGCCACCTGCAGCAGCAGCAGGTGGCGCTGACTGGGAGGGCCCCGGCATTCAAGTGGCACCACCTGTCCGTGCTCTGCACTTCACTTGATGGCCACAGCAACCCCTCAGAGCCCAGCAGCAGCTAACAAGGACGCTGGCCGCATGAGGTGCCCCAGGCCATGCCACTGGCCATGGACCCACAAGGCTTGGCACTTTGCATCTGCTACCTCCAGGGCACTATTCTGAAGTTGCTGGCTGGACTTTTATAGCCTTTTAAAAAAGTACCGCTCTGAACCCTAACAGTGACTAGATTCTTTCTATCAAAACCCAGAAGAAAAGCCTGCTAGGACAGGAACTTAAAAGAAGCATCTTGGCTCTGATTCTCCTCTGTGTTGGCTCAGTAGGTGGCCAGACCGCCCCTGAGAACGGCGCATGCTGGTGCCAGCTGCTTGCCAAATGCGCGGTTCTGTTTGTTTTGTTTTTTGAGCTGTACAGATCAGCACAAGTGCTCTGTGAGACTGGTCACCATATGTGGTGTTTTTCTCCCCTTGTTCAGTGATTCCTATTCACCAGACCTTGAACAAGCTGCTGGGGCAGCCTTGAACCAGGCAGGCGGGCAGTGGAGTGACTACATTTATGAATCTGGAGTCCCCAGTGGGTAGAGACATCTGATCCGGGGAGAGGGGCCAGGGAGGCTTCCTGGAAGACCCCCCAACCCAGGGAGATTCCAGAGTGCCTGGAGTGTCTTGTCTGGCTTCCTTGTGTCATAAGGAACGTGTCTGTGTCTCCCTTGAGAGCCAGGGAGGAGAGCAGGCCCCTGTGTCATCATCCTGACAGCCCCACCCTGGTGCACAGCCTGGATCCCCGTAGTGTCTGCTTCATAGACAAAAGTCAGAAAACGCGGCCAGGCGCTGTGGCTCACGCCTGTAATCCCAGCACTTTGGGAGACAGAGGCAGGCAGATCACCTGGGCTCAAGAGTTTGAGACCAGCCTGGGCAACACGGTGAAACTCCATCTCTACCAAAAATACAAAAACTTAGCCGGGCGTGGTGACATGCATTTGTAATCCCAGCTACTTGGAAGGCTGAGGCATGAGAATCTCTTGAACCCGGGAGGCAGAGGTTGCAATGAGCTGAGATTGTGCTACTACAGTTGTCTGGGTGACCATTTCAAAGAAAAGGAGTCAGGGGCAGGGCGCAGTGGCTCATGCCTGTAATCCCAGCAAGTGGCCAAGGTGGGTAGATCACGAGGTCAAGAGTTTGAGACCAGCCTGGCCAAAATGGTGAAACCCTGTCTCGACTAAAAATACAAAAATTAGCCAGGTGCAGTGGTGGGTATCTGTAATTGCAGCCGCTCTGGAGGCTGAGGCAGGAGAATTGCTTGAATCTGGGAGGTGAAGGTTGCAGTGAGCCAGGATCATGCCACTGCACGTTAGTCTGGGTGACAGAGCAAGACAGAGCAAGATTTCATCTCAAAAAAAAAAAGGGGCCAGGTGCAGTGGCTCACACCTGTAATCCCAGCACTTTGGGAGGCCAAGGTGGGTGGATAATCAGAGGCCAGGAGTTTGAGACCAGCCTGGCCAACATGGCAAAACCCCGTCTCTACTAGAAATACAAAAATTAGCTGGGCATGGTGGTGGACGCCTGTAATCCCAGCTACTCCGGAGGCTGAGGCAGGAGAATCTCTTCAACCTGGGAGTTAGAGGTTCCAGTGAGCCGAGATCAAGCCACTGCACTGCAGCCTGGGCAACAGAGACTCCATCTCAAAAAAAAGGAAAGAAAAAGAAGGGTCATAAAATGCTTTCTTCCCTCCTTGCCACCAGAAGCGCAATGCAAAAAATACTTTTTTTTTTTTTTTTTTTGAGACGGAGTTTCTCTGTTGTTACCCAGACTGGAGTGCAATGGCACGATCTCGGCTCACCGCAACCTCCACCTCCTGGGTTCAAGCAATTCTCCTGCCTCAGCCTCCCGAGTAGCTGGGATTACAGGCATGTGCCACCATGCCCAGCCAATTTTTGTGTTTTTAGTAGAGACAGGGTTTCACCTTGTTGACCAGGATGGTCTCGATCTCTTGACCTCGTGATCCACCCACCTCAGCCTCCCAAAGTGCTGGGATTATAGGCGTGAACCACCTCGCCCTGGCCTGAAAATACATTCTTTAACCTCAGCAGTTTTTAACCTGCACTGCATTCAACCTGCAGACTCTGGTTTTTGGTAATAAGCTTATCACAGAAATCCACCCTTTTCCAGAAGTCTGCAAGATTAGCACTCAGCATCTGGGTACCTTTTGTATTTGACACAAATACCTGCATACAGCTGAGGATCCTAGTCAGGATGGCCAGCGCAGCACACTGATGACGCTGTAACTGGGACAGAGATGCTTTCCGCACTCCTCGGCTCTGCGGGACAAAAAGCTCCGAATTAGGAATCACAAGTCCTAGGGCTTAATCTTACCTCTGCCACGGACCAGCCATGGGACCTTAGGCTCTGAGCAAACCTCTGGAACCCCCAGCTTCTCCCATGGGAAGCAAGTCCCGATGCTGCCGCCTGAGTTGGGAGGTTAATGTGCGTCACTGTGCAGTGGGCGGCCCCATTCCTGGAAGCCTGCTCCCTGCCACAGCCTGCAATAGGTGCAGGCAGCAGTTACCCTGCTCCAGGACCCCGTGAGAGAAGGGCCCCGCCACTGTGGGAAGGACCCAGGACTCCCCCAGATGCTGTGACCACCCCATCTGGGGAGCTGCAGCTGCCATCCAGCTCTTCCAGACGTGAAAGTTCAGGCTGTTTACTGCACTGTTGTCTCCTTAGTGTGTGTGCCCTAAGGATGCATGAACTTTAATTGGGAAACAGGCAGTTAAAGAAAATAGGGACCAGGGGCAGTGGCTCACACCTGTAATCCCAGCACTTTGGGAGGCTGAGGCGGGCTGATCACTTGAGGTTAGGAGTTCGAGGCCAGCCTGGCCAACATGGTAAAACCCCATCTCTACTAAAAATATAAAAATCTGCTGGGTGTGGTAGCGTGTGCCTGTAATCCCAGCTACTCAGGAGGGTGAGGCAGGATACTCGCTTGAACCCGGGAGGTGGAGGTTGTGGTGAGCCAGGATTACGCCATTATACTGCAGTCTGGGTGCTAGAGTAAACTTGGTCTCAAAAAAAAAAAATGTGGAAAGGTGGCGTGGGTCACACTGGCAAGAGTCTCTAGCTGAGTGTGCACTGTGGGGCCTCTCTGCCCTGGCCTCCACTGGCAGGCACTCACACCCGCTCCCATTTGGAGTGGAGTTAGTTCCCCCAGCCTGAGGTGCCTTGCTTGTGTGAAGCCTGGGCTCTCACCTCACTACTCTAGGCTGGCTCCATGTCACCTCATTCATGTTGCCTTTGGGGCCCTTGCCAAATTTGACATGGGACCCATTTAAGATGTCAGTTTCCAGGAAAGAGCAGGGTCCACAATAACAACTTAACAAGGCTGTACACATAGGTATGGAGGCCCTGGGGGAGTATTTGCCTGCCGAGAAAGTCACCTGGCAGGCGGGTGGGCGGGAGCCAGGTGAGGTGGGCGGGAGCCAGATGAGAGGTGGGCGGGGAGCTGGCAGGAGCTGGGGGCCCCCTCAGGCTGCTTCTCTGGGTGGTGTCATATTTGCCACACAGCAACCTGGTGGCCCTGCCTGTTGCCTTCAAAAGAGAGCCTGCTGTGATCCTGGCTGTTTCTCTCTCCAGGTACGATGAAGAACTGGCCCAGGGTGACGGGGCCGACCGGGAGCTGAGAAGTCGTCAGGGCCAGTCTCAGGGGCCCAGAGCAGGCCGATCGAGAGACTCAGGTAGAACCGTCCTCACCACCTGGAAGTGACTCCAACCCAGACCTTATCAAAACAACTCACTCAACTGGGTCCCTGCGGAAGCCCTGTTTTGAAATTTTCCTTTTCTAGAAGTTTTTTCTTTTCCTAAGCCTTGTAAATAAATGAAAGCACTTTGGAAGGTTATGGAGTCTGTTTTCACTAGTGCTGAAGGAACCAATTCATGCAGATGTATAAAACTTGCCTTTTTTTTAAATTTTTAACCTAAGCAGAATTACCATATAAAAAACTCACCCTTTTTTTTTTTGGCAGAAAGTAACAGCTTCAGCGTGTAATTTAATGTGTCACAAGGTTTAAACATTTAAAAAACTAGGGGCCAGGCACAGTTGGCTCACACCTTTAATCCCAGCACTTTGGGAGGCTGAGGCGGGTGGATCACAAGGTCAGGCGTTTGAGACCAGCCTAGTCAACATAGTGAAACCACGTCTCTACTAAAAATACAAAAACTTAGCCAGGCATGGTGGTGGGCGCCTATAATCCCAGCTACCTGGGAGGTTTAGGCAGGAGAATCGCTTGAACCTGGGAGGCAGAGGTTGCAGTGAGTTGAGATCGCAGCACTGCACTCCAGCCCAGGTGACAGCGGGAGATTCCATCTAAAAAAAAAGAAAATTTCAAAAAAACTTTACACTAAATTAAAAAAAAAAAAAATTAAAAAAAAATCTTATAGACTAGCCCTGCCATAAGAAAGGAATATGTTTAACTGACAGATCTCTTAGTTCCATTTCTTTTTACTTGACTGTGATTTTTTTTTTTTTTTTTTTTTAGACAGAATCTCACTCCATTGCCCTGGTTGGAGTGCTGTGTGCAGTGGCACAACCTCGGCTCACTGCAACCTCCGCCTCCCGGGTTCCAGCAATTCTCCGGCCTCAGGCACCCAAGTAGCTGTGATTACAGGAGTGTGCCCCCACACCTGGCTAATTGTTGTATTTTCAGTAGAGACTAAATCCTCCTGCCTAAGCCTCCCAAAGTTTTGGGATTACAGGCGTGAGCCACCATGTTCGGCCTCAGAAAGACCTGTTTTTGTCACTTCAGTTTTGTGGATGAGTCTGTTGTAAATTGAAACACACGAGCACAGACCGATCCTGCCTTTTATGATGTCAGCAGCTGGGTTTGCTGAAGGGAAGCACTGCAGGCAGCCAGGAAGTGTGGGAGGGGCCGTGGCTGCAGTACAGGCTGTGTGAGAGCGGTGTTCCCATCCAGTCTCCCCATGGCCGAGTGGCTTACAGGAGTTATGGAGAGAACACGATGGACAGATGCATCTGAGTAATAGCTCACAAGTTACAGTGCTGTTCTTAGGACGGGTCTTTTTTTTTTTTTTGAGATGGAGTTTCACTCTCGTCACCCAGGCTGGAGTGCAGTGGCACGATCTCGCCTCACTGCAACCTCCACCTCCCAGGTTCAGGCGATTCTCCTACCTCAGCTTCCAGAGTTGCTGGGATTACAGACTCATGCTACCATGCCTGGCTAATTTTTGTATTTTTAGTAGAGACAGGGTTTTACCATGTTGGCCAGGCTGGTCTTGAGCTCCTGACTTCAGGTGATCCTCCTGCCTTGGCCTCCCAAAGTGCTAGAATTACAGGTGTGGGCCACCGCACACAGCCAGAAAGGGCCTTTTATTAATGGTAAAAGTTCGTATTAACCCGTATTTGCTGAAGCTTCACTGGCTGTCTTGAGTTTACCTTTAAAGCTTGCTACCTTTTTTTGTGTGTGATGTTAATGACAGCAGTTTGTCCTCCCAAGTGGCACCAAGGGTATGTCCTGCAGATAAAGGTCTGACCCTGACCCTTGCCCAAGGTCTCTCAGTACCCACAGGTGGACACGAGTCAAGTGTACGTGCTGTGTCGTGTTTGTGTATATGTGCACGTATAGTTAATGATGTTTCACTGCCAATCAGGGAAGAAGAGGGCTTTTCAACACATGGGTAGAATAGAAAGTGACAAAAACATAGTCCAAATGGTACTTGGCAAGACTTCAAATAGGCTGCAACTGGGGGACTTCTCAGCTGTTCCTTCTGCATGATCTGATTGGTATGTGTGTTGTGTGTGTTCCCTGCTGTTTAGGTGGGGTTTTTTGTGTGTTTTTTTTTTTTTTTAGTTGGGAGTCTTGCTCTGTCACCCAGGCTGGAGTGCAGTGGCGTGATCTCAGTTCACTGCAACCTCTGCCTCCCAGGTTCAAGCAATTCTCCTGCCTCAGCCTCCCAAGTAGGTGGAATTACAGATGTGCGTCATCATGCCTGGCTAATTTTTGTATTTTCAGCAGTGACAGGGTTTCACCATGTTGGCCAGGCTGGTCTCCAACTCCCAACCTTAGGTGATCCGCCTGCCTTGGCCTCCCAAACTGCTGGATTACAGGCGTGAGCCACCGTGCCCAAACATGGTGTTTAGTTTTAATGTGTTTGCTGTTGTTGGCGGGTGTGGGATGGAGCCTCTGAGTCAGACCTGGCCTTTCAGTCTGGCTCTGCTATTTATTCGCTGTTCCCCAAGCTTGTCCCCAGGCTCGTTGCACCTTTGTTTCCCACTGTATAAAATGGGGAGTTTTTCTGAGGATGTATGAAAAAAAGAAAAAAAAGGGAGTTATGTAGCCGAGTGTGTTGGCTCACACCTGTAGTCCTAGCACTCTGGGAGGCCAAGGCGTTGGATCACCTGAGGTAAGGAGTTCAAAACCAGCCTGGCCAACACAGTGAAACCCCATCTCTCTAAAAATACAAAAAATTAGCCGGGTATGGCAGTGGGTGCCTGTAATCTCAGCTACTCAGGAGGCTGACGCAGGAGAATCGCTTGAACCCAGGGGATGGAGGTTGCAGTGAGCCAAGATCACACCATTGCACTCCAGCCTGGGCAATAAAAGTGAAACTCAGTCTCGGCTGGGTGCGGTGGCTCATGCCTGTAATCCCAGCACTTTGGGAAGCCGAGATGGGCGGATCACGAGGTCAAGAGATCGAGACTATCCTGGCCAACATAGTGAAACCCTGTCTCTACTAAAAATACAAAAAAATTCGCTGGGCATGGTGACGCACACCTGTAGTCCCAGCTACTCGGGAGGCTGAGGCAGGAGAATTGCTTGAACGCAGGAGGCGGAGGTGGCAGTGAGCTGAGACTGCGCCACTGCACTCCAGCCTGGTACCTGGCAACAGAGCAAGACTCTGTCTCAAAAAAAAAAAAAAAAAAGTTAAACTCAGTCTCAAAAAAAGAAAAAAGGCCAGGCACAGTGGCTCATGCCTATAATCCCAGCACTTTGGGAGGAGAAGGCAGGCTGATCACAAGGTCAGGAGTTCAAGTCCAGCCTGGCCAAGATGGTAAACCCCTTCTCTACTAAAAATTAAAAAATGAGCTGTGCATGGTGGCCCGTGCCTAAAATCCCAGCTACTTGGGAGGCTGAGGCAGGAGAATCGCTTAAACCTGGGAGGCAGAGGTTGCAGTGAGCCAAGACTGTATCACTGCACTCCAGCCTGGGCTGTAGAGCGAGACTTCGTCTCAAAAAAAAAAAAAGAAAAAAAAGGTGGTTCTATTTGCTTCAGTAACAACCGGTGCCACTGCATATGGACCCTGCCCACCCGCCTCACTGGCTCTGGCTCTGGCTCTGGCTATGGTGAGCCCTCCTACCCAAGGAGACGGTGTCCTCTGCACGGCTGGTGGCCCCACCTCAGCTCCTGCACCCTAACGTAAAAGATACTCTGTTCACCGTTCTTGGCTCTCACATGGGTTTTTACAACCCGGTTCTCAGTTACACTGTTTTGTTTTTGCCTCTCCCTAGGAGAAGGGTGAAGTCCCTCGTTGGGTACATTGGCCTCTGAGGTCCGGGGCCACATAGTCCTAATGGAGTCACACCAAGTGGTTAGTTTGCTGGTGACCCAGTTGCTAGGTGAGGGTGAGGCTCTGCTAAGTGGATTTATGTCATCTAGTGACTGTCTCATTAGTGATATCATGTTCTGAGCAGATGTTTCCTCTGAGCACTTCCAGGACATGGCTGGGAAGGGTGCGGTGCTGGCAGCCGTAGGGAGGCTGTCAGGCCGAGATCAGCTCTGCTCAGCCCTGGGCTGGGCCCCAGCCGGGAGCCCTGCTGGGAGCTGTCCAGGATCTGTTTCTGTTTTCTCGTCAGCCCCACCCACTTGATGGGGTGGGTCCCAGGCCAGAGGGTTGTACACTGTGGTCATTTTCACAAAGTTTGAAATGCTTGGTTTTTCCCAATATGAAACCATGCTCGGCTGGGTGTGGTGGCTCACACCTGCAGCCCCGCACTTTGGGAGGCCCAGGTGAGTGGATCACCTGAGATCAGGAGTTTGAGACCAACCTGGCCAACATGGTGAAACCTTGTTTTTACTAAAAATACAAAAATTGGCCAGGTGCAGTAGCTCACGCAGTAGCTCACGCCTGTAATCCCAGCACTTTGAGAGGCCCAGACAGGCGGATCCTGATGTCAGGAGATCAAGATTATCCTGGCTAGCATGGTGAAATCCCGTCTCCACTAAAAATACAAAAATTAGCTGGGCATGGTGCCATGCATCCGTTGTCCCAGCTACTCGGGAGGCTGAGGCAGAAGAATCACTTGAACCTGGGAGGCAGAGGTTGCAGTGAGCCAAGATTGTACCACCGCACTCTAGCCTGGGTGCCAGAGTGAGACTCTGTCTCAAAAATATATATATATACAAAAATTAGCTGTGAGTGGTGGTGCGTGCCTGTAATCCCACCTACTTGGGAGGCTGAGGCAGGAGAATCACTTGAACCCGAGAGATGGAGGTTGCTGTGAGCCGAGATTGCGCCACTGCACTCCAGCCTGGACAAGACTCCATCTTGTCCAAGATGGAGCAAGACTCCATCTCAAAAACTGACAAACCGCCATCCTCCACCTCCTTGGCACATGAGGGCTGCTCCCCAGGTATTATTAAGGCCAGAGGGCCAGAGGAGGACAGCTTCCTCACTGTCCCGATTCTCCTTCTCCACCTCCCATCGGGGCTCCTGTGGAGTCCGAATCCGCCTGGACTGCATTTGGTTGGGCTTCACCTGCTGCTGAAAATTTCCTCACAGGGGGCCATTTCCCCTCCACACAGCGGTTCCTCAGGGTGTTCCATGAAGTCTCCTGTTCTTAGGAGGGTCCAGGGGTGCTACCAAGCCTGCCTGCCCACTGGC